AGAACAATGCATTATCTTGGAGAAAATGGAGGCCTGGCTTGTGACACTTCAAAGTGATGTGATGTTTGTATTAAGAATACCATGTATCTATCTGATCACCGGGAGCTGAAGAATTAGCTTTGGTTAAGCAGAGACCAATACCACTGAAATGAAGCTTAAACTGCACCAAATGACTCTTGTTAGCTTGAGTTAAGTCAGCTATGATTATGAAGACACCAGTATCATTGAAATGGAATTTTCTTGGAGTTATTTCCTCACAGTCAGCACACAAGTGCTGTGGTCCAGAGAAGTCCAAGGCTGCAGTTCATGCTGTCAGCTGCGTTTGGTAATGTGTGAAAGTCTTCCAAGTGACACGGTGTTGAGTGCATGAAAGGATCATGGAGAATAGCTGAAGGTTTAGCACCAGGAGAGCCTTTGATAAAGGTGCGACCTCAGTTGCAGTGACAACTCCAGGATTTATGGAGTCAAGGAGAGGAGCTGAGGTTTGGTACCATGTAGCAAGGTCAGAATCCATGAAGAGGGCATAAGAGAGGTATTGGTGAAGGTGCAGCCCAGTTGCAGTGCAGACCTAAACATATTGGTGGTCGAACCATGGATGACTGCCAAGAACACTGTAAGTGTAGACTGGTGTTGGCCTAAACCTACAAGAGAAGCTGAGTGTTTGTGAATGGCAGACCCCAAGAGGCGGAGCTACCTAAGCAATTTGGAGTCCAGAACATCATGAGTAAACTTCAATGCAAAACACTGAGTTATAGAATTTGATTTACAGTTGGAGCTTGGTTTAGCTTTGTTTTCATTGTGACTGCGCCCTGATTCTTCCTCTTGAAATAAGAAGGTATTTAACTTCTTTTTGACTGACAGGTGTCCACAAGTTGTAGGCTTTGGATATTTTAGAAAGATTGAACTTCTAAAAGTTTGATTTTTTTTAAATACTGTAGGACTTCTAAAAGTTGGAATGTTTTATATTACCATGTTGATATTGATAAGCAAGTAAAGATTACTATTTAATAGTGTTGTATTGATGTGTCAAGGGGGCCAATTATCCTGGTTAGTTGTTTTTTTTTTTTTTTTTTTTGTCAGTTTGACACAAACTAGAATTATCAGAGAAGAGAAACCTCAGTTGAGATAATGCCTCTATCAGATTGCCTGTAGGCTCGTCTGTAGGGTATTTCTTGATTAATGACTGAGGTGGGAGAGCCCAGCTCACTGGGTACTGGGGCACCTCTGGACAGATGGTCCTGGGTTCTAAAGGAAAGCAGGTGTAGCAAGCTTTGGGGAACAAGCCAGTAAGCAGCACCCCTCCATGGCCTCTGCTTCTGTTTTTGCCTCCATGTTCCTGCTTGAGTTCCTGCCCTGACTTCACTTCATGACTGACTACAACTCTAAGTTGAAGTAAAGTTTTCTCTCACAGTTGCCTTTGGTCATGGTGTTTTTGATCACAGAAATAAAAAGCAAAATAAGACATCCTTCTTGAAAAAAATTTTTTATAAACTTTCAGTCTTCTTTCGAGTTTCCATCTGTAGAAATACCCACCTAAAGGGTGCGTAAGTATTTTGCCACTGCAATGTGTTTCGACACCACAAATGACCTCAAGCGAAGGATTCATTAACATTCCATTATCATCCGGCCTTTTCAACATCTTTATATTTTCTCAATGCTAATAGCTCCTCAGCTATATGCCTCTAATTTGAGCTAGTCTTTTTTTTTTTTTTTTTTGGTTTTTATGAGACAGGGCTTCTCTGTATTGTTTTGGAGGCTGTCGGTCCAGCCCGGCCTCGAACTCACAGACATCCGCCTGCCTCTGCCTCCCGAGTGCTGGGATTAAAGGCCTGCGCCACCACTGCCCAACCCTAATTTGAGCTAGTCTTATCTCTGCCCCACCCTCACCAATTTCTTCTCTGGTAAACAGGAAGGTTTGCACTTAGTGACAGTACATTGAAAGGATCTTCCTGATAAATAGGTAGAGTACATTTGGTCCGAATGATGTTTTCAAGCTCAAGTTTCTCGTGTAATAAATATGTATCAGTGGTCCCTATGTTATTAGCACTGTGTTTAGTGCTGAATCTACAGGGTACACAGGCTAAGCAGCCTGCCAGAGTAATGGGGGTGTTGAGAGGTAAATGAGCAACTGTAGTATGATAAACACTTGGGATGAGAAGTTCGCCACGCTGTGCAAGCACAGAGGAACAACTAAGCCAGAGCTGGTAGTCATGGAAGACTAAGTAGACGGTTAGCTTTTATCTTTTATGTATTCATTGATTTATTAAGCAAATATAGATAGGCAAATGTACATAAGGCACTGTGTACACTATGTTTCTATTAAATATTTTCATAGTCTAGTGAGAATCTAATTCTTATTTATTAGAGTAAAAAGTATGTAAATAAAATATATATTTTATGTTAAATGGGATAATACAAGATTATTAAGGAACAGTTTACACAAACACGTGTTCTGTATTAGGGTTCTTAGAGAAACAGAATTGATAAAATGAATACATATACTCATTTATTATACTTTATACGCACTATATTATTTAAACTATGTGCTATATATAATATATATACATACACACATGCGAGTGTGTGTGTGTGTGTGTGTGTGTGTGTGTGTGCGTGTGTGATTTAGAGTGGCTTTTAGGCTGTGGTTCTGCTAGTCTAACAATGGCTGTCCTCTAATGGGAAGTCCAAGAATCCAGTTCAGTCTACAAGGTTGGATCTCTCAGCTGATCTTCAGTATATGCCTGAGTCCTGAGGAAATAGGCTCTAAGGCCTGTGAAGGTGAGAAGTTGCCAGCAAGAGCAAGTAGGGAAAACAGCAAGTGCTCCCTTCTTCCATGTACAGGAGGTCAGCAAAAGTTGTGGCCACACTTAAGGTGAATCTCCCCACTTCAAAAGCTCTGCATCTAGGGTGAGGCTTTCCATTTCAAATCATTCAGTCAAGAATAATCCCTCATGGGTGTACCCAGCCACTCAGGTTTTACACAATTCCAGACACAGTAAAGTTGGCAACCAAGAACAGTCATCATAAGTTCTGTGTGTGGTTCTGCTTGACCTCCACAGGTTAAGAAGGATCATGGCAGCATCAACGCATTTCAGAATTATACAGAAATCTGAAAGAATGTGCACAGTTGTCTGCAGTACCAAGACATGAAGAGTGATTGACAGTGAATGGACTGGAGGATGATGTGGGCTCATTGATGGTCTTCTGTGCTAGGACATATTTTGAAAGGCATGCAAGGACATTGGCTAGTTTGGAGTCTGGAAATGGCTGTTCAGATTCCTGTTTCAAAAAGGTATTTTTAAGCTTGCAGAGACAGACCGGAAGAGGAAGCAAGCTATTTGATCTTTATCTTGTGAAGTAAAGATTTTTAACTGGCATTTTATCTCTGGGACTGGAAAATATTCCCAAACTAAGGGAAATCAACACATTGTCACAATGGAATGTAATTGCAAACTTCTATCCAACCCACTTTGGGAATCTGGTTAGAGCCTTGGTTCTGATTAGCTTTGCATACCGGTTGAATAGAATTTGTACTAACCTGAATCAGACCCTTTGAAGTATCTTTGGGTGCTGTGAAGATTAAGACAATACATGTAAAACCCTTGTTAAATAAGGTCTTATCAAATATTAATCACATGTCCAATTTTTGTAGTAAACAGTGCTGTATATGACCATGTTCAACATATGCTTACTGAAAGTTTACAGATATGTGTGTGTATATATATACATATATATATGATTATAGATATAATGTATGCTTACCTTTTGAGAGAGAGAGGATTGTGGCATTGTAGCCCAGGATGACCTAGACCTCATATTTAACCCCATTGTAGCCCAGGATGACCTAGACCTCATATTTAACCCAGGCTGGCCTCCACTGCTCCACAATTCTGCCTCAGCCTCTAGAGTGCTGGACTTACAGGTCTGAAATACCATGCTCAGCTACTGTTTTTAATGTATTGTTGTACATACGCCCAGGAAGTAGACCAACTTTGTATTGAATTGTATGGAGTGTTAATTATTGTCTGTTTTCAAGACATTCTTTCATGTAGTTTTTTTTTAGAAAACAAGACCAAACCTTTAAAGAATTCTTTGTTTTCCAAGTATTTTCAGAGATCCACATTATTGTAGCCACTCTTAATAGGCTTATTCTCAATGAAGAAATGGGGGGAGGGGTTGTGCTAGTAGACCAAGGAATTTTTCCAAATCACACATTGCCAGAGAAAACCTCTGTAAGGTACATACAGAACAATTTTGACTCAAATACTGTAAACTAGACGAATTGCCTTTGAACTGGGTTAATGGCAGGAACCTGATGTCTGCTGAATTGAAAACAGCATGTAAGATGCTCTTAACAGTTTCTGGCTTATAATAGTATATATAATAGCAAGCACTTAGTAAATAGCCAACTATTATTTAAGCTTCAGGTTTTGATTAAAAAGTGCCTTAAATGAACCATTTTCCCCCACTGAAAAACGTAAAACAAGGCTCATTATCTTTAAGATAGATTCAACCAGGGGCCTAGCCCATATGCGCCATGTGATTTATTTCTTCCTTTAGACTGGAGCAAATGAGTCTTCGCCGGCCAGACTTATGAGTCAACGGCCCCTGGGCGTTTCTGCCCTCTGCCAGCCACAGCCCGCGCACCCAAACGCTCTCCACGTGAATCCTCCAAACAAGGTTTCCCTGGTCCCCACCACGGTTCCTTGCAGAGAAGACCCTGCCTAGGAGGTAAAAGAGAAGGCGAAACCCCTCCGGCACCCACCCCTCCTGTCGGCGGCAGCCAATCGCTTTGCTCCGTGCTGCACCCGCGCTTTGGGATTGGACTCGGAGCGGCCCGGCGCGGGAGCCGAGCGCCTGGGTGGAGCCCGAAGCCCTGTCCATCACGTGCGGCCGCGGGCTCTCCCCGCCTCCCCGCGCGCCCCCGCGGCGCCCAAGGGGGCGGAGCCCGGGAGCCGCCGCGCCTGCGCGGTGTGCCGTCCCCGGGAGCAGCTGCTGCCGTCGCCGCCGCCGCCGCCGCCGCCGTTGCCGCCGCCGCCGCCGCCGCCGCCTCCTCCGAAGCCGAAGCTGTGAAGCGACCTTCGCGTTCGGGAGTAGAATTCGGAATCCCCGCGCCTGGCTAACAATGAAGCAGAGTTCCAACGTGCCGGCTTTCCTCAGCAAGCTGTGGACGCTGGTGGAGGAAACGCACACCAACGAGTTCATCACCTGGAGTCAGGTACGGCCGGGGATTCGGTGGCCCCGGGTGGCCCCGTTGGACCGGCCGGGCTGGGCTGGGCTCGGCGGCTCCCGCGGCCTGCGCTGCGGCGTGCGGCCTCCACCCCCCCCCTCTCGCGGACCCCCGGCTTTGTGTGAGCGGCGAGCCGGGCTCGGCCGGCCGGCCCCGCTCGCCTCAGCCGCGGTGGGGGAGGGGCGCCCTGGTAACGGTCCCGGCGCTCGGAACCGGCCCGCGGCCGCCGTTCTGCACACTCATCCCTCGTCGTCGTCTGCTCGCTGCGGGCGCGGAGGTCGCGGAGCCGCGGGCGGGCGGGCGGGCGCGGGTCTCGTCTGAGGAAATCACCTCCGCGGCGGGGATTGCTGGCGCTCGCGTCCGGGCATCTTTTGAGGATGGATTGGGGTAAAGGGACTCAGACTAAAACTGCATAGAAATTAGCCGATTGTTGTTTGGAGATCGGGCCATTTGTTTAATCGGCTTTTTTTTTTTAAGGTTATTTTAGTGAAAGTGGCAGTAGACCATGCTTGGTAACTTAACGGGGAGTTAAAAACGAGTCGTTGAATTTCACTGAGTAGTTGCTGGTGGAGTGGTATGTGGTTGCCTTGATCATTTTGATCCAGATTCTACTCATAAATAAAGATGACCTTAATCAAGTCCGGTGTCTTGCCTGGTCTAAGTTATGCGTAAGATGGATGCGTTGCCTAGGTGACCCAAGCCCCCCCCCTCCCCAGTTCCACACAAAGATTCCTTGCAGTGTGATTATTTACATCACCAGTGCCTTTTCTTTAGTAGACGCAATTCTTAGATTATTGGAATCATTCTATGAAGAAGGTATTTTCATGTGTACAGTTTTTGAGTAAGTGAAAACTAACAGTTTAATATGTAGCACTTGCTATGTGTGAAATAAATATCTCTTTGTTTCTGTGGGGTTTTTTTGTTTTTAAACTAGTGTTCAGTTTTACGTGCTTTTAATAGTGAACAATAGAATACCTGATATTTTGACAACTATGTCACTGAATTTTGCTCAGTATTAGTGTCATTTGTTTTTTATACTAATTTCTAGAATTTACTTTTCTTGTGTAAGTATTGTCACCTAGGTGTCCCACCCCACCCCCTGCAGGTTGTATAGATTAAGTATTTGATGAATTTGGTACATTTGCACAAAGAAGTGAAAATAAGAAAGGCAACTACCAGTGTGTCCTTAAAATAAACATATGTCTCATGCTTTTCATCAGTCGGAAGGATTAAAGGTTGACAAGCCTGGATCGGTACAGACTGTTACCCAGCTGTGTTTTAACATTAGGAATTGGACTGAAATACTTTCCCTAGCAAAGCTGAGTTTATTGAACTTTCTTAGCTTGCACAAGGCTGTTTATCTGGGCTGTCTAAAAGAACTACCCAAATACATTGACAGTTGCTGCTAATTAAGGAGTACTGTCTAAGTGGTAAGTCTAATAAATTCACATTAGCCAGAACATTTTAATAACTTTTTTTGATCGGTTTGAAATGTGCAGAATTTAAACCAATGCTTAAATATGAAGTCTTACTGCTTCTGAATGAAACAAGCTACTTAATTATTTTTATTCATCTCATTATTAAGTCTCAGTATATATTTTAACTGCCTATTTCTAATACTCCAATAGGACAGTCAAATGTAAACTCAGTAGGGTATTTGTTCTAGAGACACAATTGGTGCTTAATGTTTGATGAATCGATGAAATTGCTACAAAATGTAATGGGTTTGGTTGGAATGTATCACAGGTGCTCTGGGATAGCAATGAATTTGGCCCTAACACATTTGTAGATGACAAAGTCATACTGTAAGGTGGAATAATATTTGAAAAGTGTCTTAGGGATCATTTTAATTAGCTCAATTCTTTTATAGTTATTTTCAGGCTTAGGGGGACTACAGTGCATATGTGTACAGGGTAGATGAGACTCCTAACAAGACTCTCAGCTCCAAACTCTCCCACTCGCTACAGTATATTGTTAATACAGGCTGGCACTATCTTTAGTTTTATATCAAAGTGTTGCCCTCTACAACTAATAGGAAGTTCTGGATAAATGTTATCTAGAGCTAATCCTAGTTTCTTAGGACAGATTTCTCTAATTTTTGCTCACAATTTTTTTCTAAAAAGCAGTGCCAATACTGAAAGGTAAAACTTTAAGCCATCAGTCAATCAATCATTGTTTTTTCGAGACAGGGTTTCTCTGTGTATCAGCCCTGGCTCTCCTGGAACTCATTTTGTAGACCAGGCTTGCCTCAGAGTTATGGAGATCCACCTGCCTCTGACTTCCAAGTCCTGGTTTTATTTTTAATGGTGTGTGTGTGTGTGTGTGTGTGTGTGTGTACACGTGAACACATGAGTGCAGGTATGTGTGGAAGGCAGGAGACAGTGTCAGATTTCCTCATGCTGGAGTTAGGGGCTCTCAGGAACCTACCCAGGAGTGGTGGGAGCCAAACCGGGGCTCTCTGAGAGCAAGCAGTATGTGCTCTTGACTGCTGATGCATCTCTCCAGGCCTCCTGTGATCTGACCAGCTTCTCCTGTGCATGCAGCCTTCTTCAGAGAGAATATTACCACTTCTAGAGATTTCCAGTGTGATAGATGAAAAGTATTTCCCTAAAGAGGCTTTGTGGTCATTTATATTTCTGTTAGTAATTAGTGATTTCTAAAGTTTTCTTATGTTTATTAGCCTCTTAGTTTTTCTGTTCTGTAGAAAATTTGGATTGTAAATTCTTTATTAGTATTTTTGTTACTTATAGGAGTCCTTATAAATATAAATTACCTATTACTTGCTGTAATTGCGTTTCTTCATCTTTAAAAGTCTTTTGCAAATTAAAATAACTTAAAGTTGAGACAGTTTAATGTATTGGTTGGATTAAAGGAGAATTAGCAGCTTTATAATGCTGTATTTGTTTTCCTTGGATCCTTTTATGTTAATATTTAATTAAATGTCCCATGTGCTTTGACAATTATTGGGATATTTTAATCTTATTGTAGCTTCAAATTGTCTTCTCTTTCATGTTTTATGGAGAGAAATGTGCTTTTTCTTTTTTATGTCTTAAGTTTATGTGGGATAAACTTTTGTGGATGATTTGAAGGATCTATCTCACTGTTTTGGTTTTGGTTGATATTTTTTTTTCATTTATTTTGTTGCCCAGCATCTTTTATTAAATAATCCTTTGCTGGATGATTTATGCCACCACCTTTGTGCCCCCCATTTTGTTTTGTTTTTTGTAAAATAACATGTCATAAAATCATCCATTTTTGCTGTGTTTAAGTGTGTTCTTTACATTACTTAAAAAAAAAACATAACCATTATTACTGCCCAGCTCTAGGATAACTTTTGTCTTTCCAAACTGAAACTATGGCTTGATTTCTATTGCTGTGATGAGATAATATGACCAAGGCAACTTACAGAAGAGTCTACTTGAGGCTTACAGCTCAGAAAGTGAGTTTGTGACCATCAGGGTGAGGAACATAGCAGGCACGCCCGCACGGCATTGGAGCAGTAGCTAGGAGTTTATGTCTGATCCCCAAGCAAGAGGCAGCAAGAGCTGGACATGGTGTGGACTTTTGAAGCCTCAAAAAGCTGACCCCTCCCCAGTGACATACCTCCTCCAACAAGGCCACACCTTCCAGTCCTTCCCAAACAATTCCGCCAACTGGGGATCAAAAAAATCATTCAAATATTTAAGCCTTTGGTGGCCACTTTCATTCAAACCACTACCAAGTGCCTGCCTGTTAGACAGTAACTGTCACCTCTCTCAATCATGAATAACCCACACCCTCATTCTACCTTTAAAAAATTGGCTTTTTAAAATACCTTCTGTAAGTTGCATCATACCATATTTATTGCTCTAGAACCGTCTTAGTTTACATGGCATAAGGTCCTTAGGGTTCATCTATTTTGTAACACATGTCAAATTGTATTTGAAAGCTTGAATAGTATTTCTTTGTATTTCTATACCACATTGTGTTCATCTATTGATCAGATGATGGACACTTACGTAGCTTTCACTTTTTGGCTTTTGTGACATATTACAGGGATCGTGGTACTGATACATCTTCAGGTCCTTTTTTAGTTTTGGAGTGTTTATATAGAGTAGAATTATTGGCTCTTTTGGTAATTCTGTCTTTAATTTTTGTTTTTTAGCAACTGCTGTACTGTATTCTATAACACTGCAGTATAGTCTGTTCCACCAGCAATTCATAATGATTCAGATTCCTCCATACCTTCAGCACATTTTAGGATTGATGAAAGCCATTCTAAATTCCTGGAAATAGTATCTTATTGCTTCACTCTTGTCTTTCTAATGATTGGGAGTGTTGAGCATCTTTCATGCACTTATTGGCAATTACACATCTTTGGAAAAAATGATATTCAGATTTCTTGCTTATTTTTAATTGGCTTTTTTGTTGTTTTTTCATATATGTCACATATCTGATTTACAAATCTGTTTTACCATTCTGTGTTAGGCCTTTTCACTTTTGTTACTCAATATGCAGAAGTTTTTAAACTTAATATGGTCCGATATTTTTAATTTTGCTTATGTTGCATGTATTTCAGTAGTATTCAAGAAATCATTTCCAAATCCTGTTGTGTGTGTGTGTGTGTGTGTGTGTGTGGGTGTGTGGTGACAGGGTTTCTCTATGTAGTCCTGGATGTCCTGGAACTACAGAGATAGGCCTGTGTCTGCCTTCTGAGTGCTGGAATTAATGTATACACTATCACCACCTGGCAAGATTGAGATCTTTGATACTAATGTGTTTAGGTTTTGAATCTATTTTGAGTTGAATTTTGTATATGATGTCAGGTAAGAGTTCAACTGTATTGTTTTGCATGTGAGTATCTTGTTTTCTCAATACTAAGCCAGAAGCCAGCCTTGCCAGATGATGACAGTGGTGCAGCCTGTTGTAGCTCCTCATAGGCTGAGCCAGGAAGATCACAATATTGAGGCCTGACTGGGATGCAGAGTGAGTTGTAAGCCAGCATGGGCAACTAATGAGCCTCTGTGTCAGAAACTAGGGCTGGCTGGAGAGATGTCTCAGTAGATAAGAGCACTTGTTCTCGTTCTCGCAGAGGACTTAGGTTTGTGTCCCAGTACTCACTGGTGCACATGTAACTCAGTTACAGGGCATCTGAAGCATTCTTTTCACACCCTATGAACACCAGGCATATTGTGTTGTACATACAGATATAGGCAAAAGACTCATGTACCTACAATTAAATATCCCTTTTTAGAAAGTAAAAAGGGGGATGGGTAAGTGCTTGCCTAGCAGTAAATTCAGGTCCCAGTATCACACCCTATTCATTTAGTTAATCTTGTAACCAGAAATCTTTCTAAATTCTTGTATAGTTTTTCAGTGTAATATACTAAAATGTAGTTACATATGTTATGGATGGTGGTAAAATGGTGATTTCTCAATTTTTGTCTGTTTACATTAGCTTTAAAATAAATTAATAGTATTGTCTACATATTAGGTCTTTTGCTTACATAATAGAAATTATTTCATCACAGAGTATGATGTAACCTTTGGTTTGATGCTGACACCTAAAATGTTCTTGTAGTTTGACTTGTAGGATGTTTTCCCCATTATCAGAAATAGAATGCTGGTCTGAAGGTATCTAGAAAAATTTACCAGAGCTGATTTAGATTCTCCTGTATAACTTTGTTGGAGGACCTTAACTAATTGACATTTCTGAGCTTTTTTTGTTTTGTTTTTTAGAATGGGCAAAGTTTTCTGGTCTTGGATGAGCAGAGGTTTGCAAAAGAAATTCTTCCCAAGTACTTCAAACACAATAACATGGCCAGCTTTGTGAGACAACTAAATATGTGTAAGTATGACCAGTGGTTTGCTTGTAATGTTGTTAATAGCCACTGATTAAGCCAGCTTTTCTTATTAAAATAATAAGCTTTAATTTTTGAGTTGTCTAATTTTAGTTATGTAAATTTGAATCTTTGTCAGATGGCTTCCGTAAAGTAGTACATATCGACTCCGGAATTATAAAACAGGAAAGAGATGGCCCTGTTGAATTTCAGCATCCTTACTTCAAACAAGGCCAGGATGACTTATTGGAGAACATTAAAAGAAAGGTGAGCTGCTGCTGATACATTAACTAGGTTATAGACATGAGGCACAGCTATTTTGTTAAGCTGCTGGATTGAAGAGTGTACAGAAAAAGCTGGGTGTGGTGGTACACACCTGTAATCTCAGCAATCGGGAGGCAGAGGCAGGAGGATTGCTGTAGTTTGAGTCCAGCTGTTCTAAATAGTGAGTTTCAGGCCAGCCTGGACTATAGAGTGAGACCCTGTATCAGTAATTCTCAATAATAACAAATATATAAATAATGAAGATGAATGTGCAGAAATACAGAGAGATTCCTTATAGAGATGAACTAGACTAATAAATCTTCGATTAATTGTTCATCTGTTCCCCCCACTTATTTCAAAGCTCAACTGTGCTGAGAGTACTATAGTCTTCATTTTAACAAAGGAAGGAAAATAGTCACCATGTTGTGACAGAACGTAGAGTTACCCATTGTAATGGGAGGGCTTACTCTTAAGTTTGCAAAGCAAAACAGAACAAAACAAAACAAAAGAACTACTGCTAAAATGAGCTATCTTTACTAAATCCATAGAATCCTGGCTTCAGTTCCTGTCACCACAAAGTTGAAAGTGGTGGTGAAAGGGGCAGGGGAATACCTATAGCCCAATGGCTAGAATATGTAAGTCTAATCAATCTAACATGTATGAGGCCTTGCGTTCAATCCTAAATGCTGAGAATGAAAACAAAAGGTGACGAGTCCATATAAGAAAATTACCTACTGTGTAGCTGCATTGCTACATAATTTTAATGTGGAATGTGATAATAAAGAGACTTGGAAATGAAATTTGGCAGAGGGAATAAAAAAGCTCCTCATATTCCTGCTCATCTTTTATGAGATGGTTTACTCCTAAGTAGGCTAGGGAAAGGGGGAAAAATAAAGTGATTGTTACTGGATTTCTGTTGTATTAAGCTAATGTTTATTCTTGTTCTAGAATTTATCTAGAAATTTGTAACCACATTTCACTTCTTTAATAGGGTAAAGAGACTTCTCATGGTAGGAAGTTTTGAATTACAATCATGGGGGCTTAGTATATATTTAATTTTCTAAATTTGTATTTTGGAAGGTTTCATCTTCAAAACCAGAGGAAAATAAAATTCGTCAGGAAGATTTAACAAAAATTATAAGTAGTGCTCAGAAGGTTCAGATAAAACAAGAAACTATTGAGTCCAGGCTTTCAGAATTAAAAAGGTAAAAATATTATTTCCAAATATAATACTAATATGGTGGTTGGGTGTGTGTATGTTGGGGTTTGGGGTGTGTCTGGTGTTTTACTTTAAGTAATCCTCAATAACCAAGATCAAAGACCTTTTTGTTTTCTGTGTCAGTTCCCTTTGCTTTTAGCTTGTAGCTGTAGACTTTGTCCTAATAACAGGTTTTAATTATGGTTGTCAGAAGAATATATAATGTTTCCATGCAGCTGGTTTAGCTTATGAAATGGTAAATCTTTCAGATAATGTAGTAAATACAATTCTACATAGATAATTTTCATGTGCCTTTTACACATAAATGAGGGCACACATTAGGAATCTTATATAACTGATAATGTAGTAGATACAGTTTTACATTGATTAGTTTTTATATGGTCTTCATACATAAATGACTTTCTTAAAATGTGTGTTTCATTGTGGCCTGTCTATTAGGAAAAAGTAGGCCATGGGAAATAAGAGAAAACACACACACACACACACACACACACTAGTATTTGTTGCTTTGACAAAGTCTCGCTGTATAGCTTAAGCTAGTCTTGAATCTGTAGTTCTCCTACCTCTGGCCTGCCTACTCTCCCTTCTGAGTTGTGAAGTTCTCTGACTTTTTTGATTAAAAGATGTTGTGGCTTGGTCTTCTGACCAGACCTTTCTTGTTTGGTTTTTAACTACATTTTCATACAGTGAGAACGAGTCCCTTTGGAAGGAGGTGTCAGAATTAAGAGCGAAGCACGCCCAGCAGCAGCAAGTTATTAGGAAGGTAAGAAGCCTCCTGGCCCCCACTGTGCTCTGCATTTGCTTGATGAGTAGACAGTTTTACTGCCACGGACTCTGTATTTGCTGCTGCTGCTGTTTACTCTGATTGGCATAGTTAATGTTTAAGTCACTTGGCCAAATTGGGAGTTCAGCTGTGTTTTTTCTAGTGTGTGCTATATTTGGGTTTAGCATAAAAGTAGTTTAAAAGTTATAAATTCAAGATATGGAGCTGAAAATTAATGAAAGAATTAGAATCTGTCCATAGTATTGTGTGCCCTTGTCATTTAATCTTTGCATTCCAACTTCCATCCATTTGCTGTTAAGGAAAGAAACATGAGAGTAATTAAGGTTTCTATTTTTGCTTATGAGTAAACTGGACTCATGGCAACAGATTCTTTTTAGGGGAGGGCTGGGGAGAGATGAATCTTGTTCCTGCTTGAAAAGGCACTTGAGCTAAAAATAAGCTTCTGAGTGACAGGATTTGGATCTAGTGAACTAGGCTTACAGCAGAGATGAATAGCAGTTGTCACATTTGGCCTATGATCAAAATAGGACACTAATTTTATAAAATAAAATAGCGTATTAAGGTTAAACATAATTTAATTCAATTCTCAGTGTTTCAAGTATGTATAATTTTAAAACTTCTGTAGTTCTGTTGCATAGCCCTGTTAAGGTTGGTTGAGTTAAAATAACAGGTGTTTTTAATTTTGTATTTGATAAAAAGATGTGTTACTATTTTTCACAAAACAGCCTTTTAGTTAAATATTAGCTATTTAAGCTGCATTGTTTTTTCCTAAAGCAAAGATAGTTGTTGAAATAGTTAACACAGCACTTCTTTTTTTTTTTTTTTTTTTTTTTTGGTTTTTCGAGACAGGGTTTCTCTGTGGCTTTGGAGGCTGTCCTGGAACTTGCTCTGTAGACCAGGCTGGCCTCGAACTCACAGAGATCTACCTGCCTCTGCCTCCCGAGTGCTGGGATTAAAGGCGTGCGCCACCAACGCCCGGCTAGCACTTCATTTTTTTTTTATCAATACTTTTTCTGTTCAACTTTGAAGTTTGAATATGCTATATAATAGATAGGCTTCATTGCTATAACCTCTTTTAATCATGTTAAATTTCATAAAGCATATAGAACTGTACAGAGTCTGAAACAGTCCTTCAATCACTTTGGCCTTATTCTAACACTGTAGCACTTCATTTCATTGTTTCTCACTCTCTTCACTTGGAATCTTTAGGTAGGAAGTTGACAATAAAATTTCAAGTCATACCCTAAGCCAAACTGGTCAAATGTTACCTAGAAGGCTAAATACTTAGTTAATGCCTTCTTTGCTGGGCCGGGTCAGAATTCAGATTGGATATTTCTGTGGTGAGGTTGAGAACTTAAATGTCTAGGAAGATATTAGAACAGTGGTGCTGGCCCATGTCTTAATTGAAGAAATGGGCTTATAAAATAAGGTTTATTTATATCTATCCATTTAATAGTTTTCCCTCTAAATTTAATCAGATATTTAAAATTTACTCTGTCTGTTAATTGGACAAGCTTAGGTGGATGTATCACAACAGTAATATTTATAAAGCTGCCCAGTACACTCTTTCCAACCTAAAAGTTTATGATGTATTCTGAGTTAGTAATTCCTTTTGCCTTTAATTATATTACCTTTGTTGGGAAAGTGTTTCCTATCAAGCACCAGTTTGTCTTTGCATCACACTTCAGTCTTCCTGAAAAAAACAGCAAATTTCAAATGTTAATTTGTGAGACACTACAATGCCTTGGCATTAGTTAGTTTGGAATCAATTATGAGAACACTGTATGAAGGCAGAGAGCTAGATAGTAGCTGATTTGATTTAAAGTGGACAGAATCTTTGATGACAGAATTTTATTTACATTTTCCTCTCAGATTGTCCAGTTTATTGTTACACTGGTTCAGAATAATCAGCTTGTGAGTTTAAAACGTAAAAGGTAAGTTTTGTTTTTTTTTGTTTTGTTTTTGTTGTTGGTTTTTGTTTTTTTTGTTTTTTGTTTTTTTTTTTACTTAGAAGCGTTGTAGTGTTTAAACATGAATACCTGTGCTTGCTGAGTATATGTCTGGTATCAAAGAACATCTCCGGCTCCCCCTTTTTAAATTATGTAAGCACTTCAGTTTCCAGAGCAGTCTTGTCAGGGTGAGGACCCCTACCACAGTGCTTAGGCGAGTAGAAATATTTGAGGTTGTATTTTTTTTCCACATTTTTGGATGTTTATATACATAAGAGGTAACTGTGATAACATTTATGTCTGAACTCAAAATTTATTTATTAGGCATACATACTTCATGCATGCATGCAGTCTGAAAGTAATTAGATCTCTAATAATTTTGTAAATGAGGTAGTTTATGTGTCAAGCAGCTAAAAGGACTGAGAAGATTTTTATGTTGATGCCCTTAATTGACCATGGCCCATCACATAAATATAAGTGACTTTTCTATTAAGTTTACTTATTTTGGAGATATGTAACGTATTTATCGTATGTGCCCAGCTTATGCTAATTTTTTTTTTTTTTTTGAGAAATAAGGATAGGCTAGATGGTCACTTTGTAGACCTGAGGGTGTTACTAATACTTGGTCTTTCATTCATATTAATAGTTTAAAGTAGCATTCGGAGCCCCAGTGAGGAGAACTCTTTAAAAATAGGTCATTTGTTGTGAAGAAGGGAGAGAATCAAATGTTACTTGGCTTATTTTAACTGTAATTGATCAAGTTTTTTAAAATTTTAATGATGGGTTGTAATGCTTACAAATATATTAGCTAGTAATACCATTGTATTGTTACACCTAAACCAGAAGAATAATTGACAAAAGGCATAGATAAAAGGAGAAAAAGATGACTAAGAATATGTCATTAGTTATTCAAGAATTATTTTTATTGAAGGTTTTCATTCATTAATAAGTATTCTTGATGTGTTGCAAGTAAATTATTAGAAATCTTTCATTAGATTCCTTTTATTTTTTTTCTCTTTCGGAATCACATCAATATTGTTCTTATTTACAGACCTCTACTTCTAAACACTAATGGAGCTCAAAAGAAGAATCTATTTCAGCACATAGTCAAAGAACCAACTGATAATCACCATCATAAAGTAAATTTTAATGTATTTTATGTTTATTGTCTCAAACTAAATTTTATTATGGCAGTGTTTCATGCAGTCAAAGACGTTTAGTGAATAAGAATGTAAGTGCTCACTCCCCAGCTCTATTAAATCATGACATTTTCATTATTTGCTTTAGAGTATTTTAAGAAGTATGTCTTTACAAATAGTTGTTTATTTCCAAGTTTGTATTTTTCTAATATTTGTTATTGCCGTGGGTATTTTATATGTGTGTGTGAATTCAGGAATGCTGTTGTTATTTTGCATATATCCAAATTTCATATAGATGATGTTATTTAAATATTCTGCAGTGTGGCTTCCACTTTGGTAGGAGGGATTGATTAGCACAGGCCTCTGTGCTTGCAGTGTACCAGTGACCAGTTTCTCAGCAGTGTGGCCTTTGTTACTTTTGGAGTTGATAAAACAAATGCAGTTTGTTGGGAAGCTGTATAAATTGAGCAGTGTGATGATGTCATCATGGTGTAATATGATTATGGGACTTCCTGCTGTTTATTTTCATTTTATCTTCTATGATAAGTGTGTACTCAACTAGAGTGCTTTTCTCTAGTAATTCAGATATTTTTGTATACTTCTGTTTTTTCTATAGACTCATCTAGTTAGAGATTAGTCTACCATGAAACAAAGCTAAGCCTTTTTTTAATAATGCTACTCTCTCATTGATAATCCTTTTTTTTTTGATAGTGCTAGAGATCAAACTTAAGCTTTAGCACGACAAGGCAAATGCTGTACCACAGAGTTATGTTTTTAATTTGAAAGGATTTTTAAATATTGTGTCAGATTTATTATTGAAATGTTGAGGGTTCATTTATTTATCTTTTATTTTGTCTCTCTGGGACAAAGCACAGTTAACTTCATATCAGACTGTTCATCCCACTTCTCTTTCTAAACCAAGTAGATGTAGCTTGATTTTTGGATTGAATGTTTAAGTAGATGGGTGGTTGTTTTTGTTTGGTTGCTTGTTTTAGTGTAACTGAAATATTTGTATTTTTATATTTTTGGTTGTGAGCCTAGCCTTTAACGGCTGAGCCATCTCTCCAGCCCATATTTGTATTTTTAAAGTGTTTCATGTATATTGGATTTTTTAAACTAGAATTTATATATCTTAAAGCACTTTACATTTTTTACCACTGTCATCTAGTGTTAAAACTTTAAAAGTATTTACATTATAATAATGATTTGTTTACTTTTAGAAAACTGAGCTTCTTAGTATAACTGACTTGAATATAACTATACGTGTTTTTCTTTCTTTGGTGAGGGTTGAACCTAGGGTCCTATGCTTCATTTTGTGATAGGATCCCACCAAGCTGTCTAGGCTGCTGTTGAACTCACTCTGTAGCCCAGGCAGGCCTTGAACTCAGAATTTTCCTGTCTCAGCCTCCTGAGTAACTACTTGGGATAATGGGCCTGGGTCATCACACTACCTGTCTACCTGCATCTTAACATTAAAAAGAATAAGGTTTTGGTAAAACAGCCAAAGTGATTTTTAATTGTGGAATTGTTGCAAGTTCTGTGTATCTCTTAGTGAAGCTATTTAATAAGTAAAAATAAAGCCTCTTTTGACACAGGAAGTTCAAAAAGAGCAGTCACTATCAGTGCAGTGGCTGTGTGATTATGGTTGAAATTTCTGAAGGCCTCGAACTTGTTCACTATCCATAAAAAGTCCTTTAGAATTTGAAGCTCTCCATAGAAACATGCTTTGGGCATGTCTGACAATAAAGTAATTTGTTATTAAGTAGAATTTGGGTATATACCTCATAGCTCCATAAGATGGTATTATAAGTCATTACTGTGTGTCTCTCAGAAGGGCAGAGGACAAAGCTGTTTTGTTCACTGTCCTCAGCATTTAGCAAATAGGGTATGTTCAGTTTATTTAATGGTATCCTCTGTAGTAGTCCATATGTTGTTTTTTTCTCTTCATTCATTAGGTTCCACATAGTAGGACAGAAGGTTTAAAGTCAAGAGAGCGGATTTCAGATGACATAATTATTTATGATGTTACTGATGATAATGCAGATGAAGAAAATATTCCAGTTATTCCAGAAACTAATGAGGATGTGGTGTCTGATCCCAAGTAAGTAATCATGAAATAGTTTTTTGGGAAAGTATTCATCATTGTTCATACCAAATAATTAAACACCCTGGTTCTTTGAAAAACTATTTTTTTCTCATACTTAGTTTGAAGTGCTAATCTTTTTCTCATATTTGGAGTATTGAACCAGATAAACCCCACCTCAAAACAAGAAACAATGAAAATAGATGATTTTTATTTGGAATTAAACCTTTTTCCTTGATTTTATAGTTTTCTAGCTTATAACTTGTCAAAATTTGACTTAAGCCACTTACTTCAGAAAAGGAAACCTTTTAATAGGTGATTTGTAAATTCTACTAGAGAATGACAATAAATTTGTCTAAAATTGTAATTTTTTTTCTCACATCACTGCTATAGCTGCAGCCAGTATCCTGACATTGTAATTGTTGAAGATGACAATGAAGATGAGTATGCCCCTGTCATTCAGAGTACAGATCAGAGTGAACTAGTCAGAGAGTCATTAAGTGTGGGAAGTGCTGGCGGCAGCCCCCTTATGTCTAGTGCTGTGCAGCTAAATGGCCCATCCAACCTGACCTCTGAGGATCCTGTGACCATGATGGATTCCATTTTGAATGACAACATTAACCTCTTGGGAAAGTGAGTATTCATCTAGATGTTTTAATTACTTTTTGGTATTTAGTTCAATAATAACCCTGAAGTAAATACTGAATGTCTATAAATTCAAAGTAATAATGATAACTTCTACTGACCTGTCTCTTTCTCTTGATCAAAGTTGAACTCTGTAGTCAAAGGGATTTGTCTCATGAGTAGTCTTAGAACTTTGTTGAGCAATTCGTTAGTTTTTTTTTTTTAAATAAATTCTTGTAACTGTAAGGTATTTGTGCTTTTTTTTTTTTTTTTTTTTTTTTGGTTTTTTTTGAGACAGGGTTTCTCTGTATTGTTTTGGAGGCTGTCCTGGTACTAGCTCTGTAGACCAGCCTGGCCTCGAACTCACAGAGATCCGCCTGCCTCTGCCTCCCGAGTGCTGGGATTAAAGGCGTGTGCCACCAACGCTTGGCGGTATTTGTGCTTTTAACTTTACCAATTCTGTATACTAGTGTAATTTCTATTAAGGGACACATTTTGTTAAAAGTATAGTAATTTGTAGTATAGAAGTAACCAATGTGAATATTAGAAGTATTAGAGTAAGGAGAAAGTAGAGAAGAAAGGGGAAAGTACATCTGTACAGCAGCACATCTTTTCTGAACATACTAAATTTGGGTAAAAGGTGTGAGTTTTTCAGTTTTCAGAAATCCCAGACCTTAAATGTGATGTCTCCAGATCTGGTAAGGACTCAAAAGTCACTACCCCAATTCTATAGAGCTAGATCACCAGCAGTGGTTTGAAATGTAAGAATGAGAATATTTAATATATATGAAATTGTTCTTCTTTGCTTTTTTTCTCTTTAGGGTTGAGCTGTTGGATTATCTTGATAGCATTGATTGCAGTTTAGAGGACTTCCAAGCCATGCTTTCAGGAAGACAGTTTAGCATAGACCCAGATCTTCTGGTTGATGTAGGTATTTGGGATAATTTTTACTATACTGGTAGCTGTGTGTGTGTGTGTGTGTGTGTGTGTGTGTGTGTGTGTGTGTGTGTGTGTGTGTGTGTGTGTTGCTTAAAGTCAGTACTTTTTTGTATTTATACTTTGTTCATTTTACTTGCTTAATTAATGATTTTATTAGGAATTGTAAACAGGCAGATACAGGACAATAGTGTACAATAATGTGTGATTACTGTCTGCCTCTGAGGAGAAATTGCTCTCCTGTAACAACATTGCCACCTCTAAATAAAGCTTTTGTCTGGATTTCTTGCTATGTGTTACTATGTGTCTATTTTAATCTAGAATAAATTGTCAATTAAAATGAATAAAGATCTTTGAAAAGTAGTAGTGAAGTACCTAGTCAGGGAATATAGAGACACTTCTTAATACTTGAGGAATTGATATTTTCTAGTAAAATTCCTTTCATTATATTTGCTGTATTTGTATGTCTTGAATATGATGCCCTATTCCCGTCTCTGTGTGAACTGATCATTTTTCCTCTGATTTCAAGCCCTAAGCACCTTTCTCACCTGTTTTGCTTTTGCGCTCTGCGTTCTTCTTACCCTATCCAAAGCTTTCTAGATTCCCCTCACTTGTCCTACTCACATCAGTCTTGTTCTTTCCTCTCTTTCCAAGATGTGTTTATTCTGAGAAACATTTTGCCTTACAGTGAACCTTCAGTCACATCAAAGGATTCCGTAGAGTTATCACTTTAAGAACTTCTTAATGCTGTCAGAAGTAATTAGTCCTTTCTTACTTTTCAGTCTAATTTGTGGTTAGTTAATCATTTACATCTCTTCTCATGAAATTAGTCTGTCACATGGCTTAAAACACCCTTTCCAAATCATCAATATCACACAGGATTGTAAGTGAATTAAGATTCTATGTGATAACCCATTTCACCTTGATAGCAGTAACCTAACAACCCTCCTGGAGTCCATCAGACCCATTCCCAATTCTAAATGGGGTGTTAAAGACGTAAGAGTTAATCCTTATGGTCTTTGGATCATTTCAGTTTTACTTTGAATATTTACTGAATTCTTGCTCAGATTTCCATATTTGCTGAGAATAATTCACTGTGCTCCAGGCCTCAATCCGTAGCTCCTTGCAGTTTTGCATCCTTTCTTGGAGAAAATAATTTAATGCCTCCTTCAACCCAGTTCAGTTTTCTGTCCTTGGGATGGGTGGGTGGATGGGTGTGGGTCTGTCCCTCTGGTTTTGTTTGCTTGCTTTATCTATTTTTCATCTTCTGGGCTTGCAGAAGATGACTTGTTTTTAATTAGACAGGTCTGAGTTCTGGTACTGCTTGTTAATACTTACTGTCCTTAGGAAAGGTAACTTTCTTTTTTTAAGACAGGGTCTCATGTATACCCTAGGCTGGCCTTGAATTTGGTGCATAGCTGAGGGTGATCTTGGGCTTCTAATCTTCCTGCTTCCCTCCTAAGTGATAGGATTACAGTAGCATGCACTCTTAGACCATTACACCCAGTTTACACCGGTGTGATTAAACACAAGTTTTCATGCATGCTACGCAAGCACTACCAACTGAGCTACATCCCCAAAGTGCCTTTCCCAGTTTCATCTGTTAAATAGGGCTAATGATTAATATGAAAGGCTATTGGAGGAATTACAAATAATTAAGCCTACTATTAGTGCTTTGTTTTAGTACGTAGAGTCTGCAAGATAACTTGTTTTGATTCTGAGACAAGGTCTCTTATAACACAGACCCGTCTTTTATCTAAGCTTCTGACTCACACGTGCTAGGTGTATAAATGTGTTCCATATGAGGGTCTCAGCATCTTCTCTTGTCTTCCTAAACATTCTGTTTCCTGTACGAACTTTTCTTTTTCCTGATGTCATCTTCTTTGGGGCACTCAGTTTTGCATATTTTTCTTTTTTTTTTTTTCTATTTCTTGTCTTTCTGTTTTTCTTCTCTGAAGACATTTTGACATTATCCTTTTCTGAAACGGGTACACGAAAGTTTTTGTCCCTCCTGGTCCCACAGCCATTTAGCCCCAAATGAGCACACAGGAGTGTCTTAGTTATAACCTGTTGACTGATGGCCTAGGTTTCTTACTAGCTATCTGTCTCTTAATTATTAACCTATGTTTATTATTCTAAGTATTCCCATGTGGTCTTATCTTACCGAAGAAGGGTCCAGACCTTACTCCTTCCTCAGCTACATGGAGTCTGCTTTGCCCGCTTCTCCCCAGCATTTTCCTTGTCTGGTAGCCCCACCTGTACTTTCTGCTTGGCTACTGGCCAATCAGTGTTTTATTCATCAACCAATAAGAAACATATATACAGAAGGACATCCTCCATCAAAAATGCATGTCTCTTTTTCTTAATACTTTAGAATGCAAACTTGGCTCAAATCCTACTCCATGACTTCGGGATATTCTGCTTTATCTGCCCGTCTTTAGATTATTTAAGTTCACTGTCAATTTTTTTTTATTCCTGAAACTATATACTCATTTACAGAGTTCTTATTTTTACAGTAATATTAACTTTCCTCACCTACATTACCAGGATCATTTTGATTTTTTTTAATCTTATCACTAGGTACTTTTTTTCAAAATAGCATTGACAAACTGCCCTAATTTGTATTTTAACTTCTCTCATCCAAGTTATATCACCCATGAATTAGATTGCAGTGTCATAAAATCTACGTCTGGCTTGCCTTGTTGTCTGAAATGGATGGCTTTTCTTTACACAATTTTTTTTCTTTATTAATCAGGGTAGAGTCAGTAGGAGATCATTGGGCCTTAGAATTCCAGAAATTGTGTTAGTTTCTTATATGTGAACTGGTTGTATATATTTTATAGCATCTTGTCTTCTGGGAGTATGTATGAGATACTAAGTCAGTAAATAGGGTTTTGAGGCAAAAATAGAGACAGAAGCTTACATTGCTGGCCTCACTCAGGTACCACCCTGTCTATAGGTACAAAATTGCATCAGCCTTCTCTAGAATAGTCACAGGCTGGCCTGGTGGTGGTGGCATCTTTAATCCCAGTACTCAGGAGGCAGAGGCAGGTGGATTTCTGTGAGTTCGAGACCAGCCTGGTCTACAAGAGCTAGTTCCAGGACAGCCTCCAAAGCCACAGAGAAACCCTGTCTCGAACCTCCCACCACCCCCCCAAAAGAAATAGAATAGTCATACAAATAGTAGTCATCTGCCACCAAAGATTTGAGCACCTTAGCTCTTCAGCAACCACTGGGTGATGTGAAAAGAGAGGGAAATACATGGAAAGAGAGCTGATGATATTTTTTATGACAGCTGAAGTCTTGAAAGGAGTCCGTGTCTAAAGAGAATGGAAGAAGAAATATAACTGACCTCTGCATTTCATTGATTGTGAACCATTGCCTTTGATCATTATAAAATGCAAACCTAATGTCTGTTTCAGTGCTAAGACTTCTTAGGGATCTTATTCCTGATAAGGATGTGACATCATCCTCTGAATGGCTTTTCATTGCTTCTTTTAAATTTTTGTATATAGCTGTTCAAGTCAGAACTTCTGTTATTTGCATTGGTTTTAACCATTTCTAGAACATGCTGTACGTTCTTGGTATTACTGTAGCTCAGTACTCTTCTGTCTTCCAAATTCTTGCCATTCTCTTGGGACTTATGATGCATAGCACCATCGTGCTATGCCTGTGTCTGTGCTTTCCTCCCATTCTCCAGTCTCCTTAGTGCTTTTAAGCTCTGCTAATTGTTGTGAAACTGGGTTATGTATGAGTATAAGTTGGTTATTTAATGTCAGTATTATGTCTTAGATTGTAAGCTCCTGAAGAGCAGAAATGAGGTTTTCAAGGTGTCAGTAATTTCTTATTTTGAAGCTTATGACTTAAAAGTTGTATTTATGAATTGGCTGAACTGTGAGTATAGTTCGTTGACATTATTTTGGCACTCATCAACTTCCTTTTCTATGTGGAAGTAGTTTTATGCCATTGTGTCAGAGGGCTGCACTTGGTATGTATGTTAGGGTTCACTGTCAGAATAGGTTCTATGAGTTTGTCACCTAATTAGTAGGTATTCAATGGATGCTCAGTTTTAAGACGTGGGACCCAGATTTGGTGGTATGTATGGCTAAGGAACTTTAGGGAGAGAAACATAAAAGATATGAAATTGAATGTCAATTAAGGAAGGACAAGAATTGTGGGAAACTATTCCAAATGATTAATCACCTGTAGAGAAATCCTTACAACATAAAATTCCATCTAGTGTACAGCCAGCTTGCTCTGCCTTTGTTTGTTTTTCTTTCTGCTTTCTTGCTTTCCCAAACTTGTTTTAGTCTGTGGAAACTTCCTAGTGTAGGAGTGACATTCCTTCACTCAACATGGTTGAATAAAAATTTTTAACACACAAATCTTTTTAAATATTTTTTAAACTTACCATGTTTCTTGTTTGGTCTTTCAGCTTTTCACTAGTTCTGTGCAGATGAATCCCACAGATTACATCAATAATAAAAAAGTAAGTTTTAATTCATGTTGCTCAGGACCCATAGCTATAAAAATATGAAGAAGTCCTAGTAAACATACATGGAAAGCAGTATCACTCTCAATTACAAAAGACATTTTATATTCTTACCTGATGTGTGGGATTGAGATAGTAAAGTACTAGATGGAAAATTAACATTTGGTTATGGGGTTATTCTTTATTGCCCAATCTGCTGGACATGTGGGATTCACTCTCAGTATAAAATCGGCCTTAGTGCTGGGCAATCATCTGGCCTTAGTTTGTTCAGTGTTTCTTTGAAATAACATGATTAAAATGTAATTTCTGCATTTTATATTCTTTCAATATATAATTTCTCAGCTTTTTCAGTTGAAAGTAACTGGTTTATATTTCTTTTGTAAGTTCCTTAATTAAAAACAATAACTAAAGCAAAGGCAAATTTTACTAGGTAGGAGCTAGGAACTCCAGTTAGACTTAGCAAATTGACAGGAGATTCTTAAGGGCAATCTGTCATGGCAGATGCTTTTAAATATTTGTTATTTTTGTATAGCTTAATTGTCTTGTCTAATTTACTCCCCATATCTAATATGTATACTTAATTGCTAATCTTTATTTTTTATTGACTACAAAACTGATCAAGTTCAAATTCTGGATTAGTGAAGTCAGTTTCATTCTTGTCCTTTGTAATGTAAAGATGAGACATCTCAAATAAATATGAATGGTTATAGAATTGATGAATTGAAATTTTCTATTGTCATGTGTAAGGAGATCACCTGGCCCATTTTCCTACATTTTTGAAGGTTCAACTTGGCTGACACAGAGCCTCAAAACTTTTATGAAATTGTAGAGTAGGAAGTTCATCATGCAGACATATGGCTTGCTGTTTCTGTAAACAGCCAAACCTACTAAATGTATTTGGATTTATAGGTTGTATGTCACAACTGTGAATGCTGTAATTGTAGATTAAGCAGATATGGGTAATGCATATGAGTGTGTGGATGTGTTTTTGATAGACATTTTAAATAAAAGCAGACATTAAGCTAAATTTCACTATCATTTACCTAGGCTTATAGTATGAATATTTTGTCATTATACCGAATGTTATTAAGTCACATTGTATTTTAATTTAGTGAATATGTTTTGTTGTTTATTGCTAAAACTGAGTCATTGTTCTTTGATTATCCTCTTCTAGAAACCACTTACTTATAATTTTCAGAAATATAAGTAACAGAAAATTGCATATGCTTTCTGAACTTATAAAACAATATTTAAGAGTGATGTTTTATTACAGTTCTGTGTCCAAAGTAATTGTAAATATTGGTATTTTTATCTCTTATTCTTTGATTCATGAAAAGGGCATATGACATGTAACATAATATTTTCTTAATTTGAATACCTTATGCTCCTTAGTGTAGCTGAGTGGCCACTACCAATGAATAAGAATTTGCATGGGAAAAAAGCAAATTCATAATCGTGGTTCTCAGATTAGAAGATCAACAGTGGCATCCTTGGGAAGTACCTTTTTCAAGGAGTATAAAATGTATTAATATTTATGTATTGTGACTTCTAACTGATGAACTATTTTTACTTAAATTATTTGGAATGGTTTAGTTTTCATCTTAGGGCCATTATCTTCTTGAATCTTAGAAACTTTTATTGCTTCATTTTATAATAGCTGTCAGAGGAATGTAGGAATTATACAGATGTTTGTTATGCCATACATACTAAAGCAACATTTAGGAATGTGGTACATAAGAAATAATTGAGTCTCATCCACACCTCAGAGTTTCAGCACTGCTGAAAAGATGGCTGACATCTCAGCAGCATTGTAGCCTTAAGTTTCCTATGAACCAGAAGAGAAGAAGACAACCAAAATGAAATAAAAGAACCTAAGGAATCACGGAAAGGACAAGAAGAAACCATCACAGTTGAGGCTTCCAAGAGCAGGGATAGATTCACAGATGTCACTGTGTCATCTTTCATACTCGGAGTACATTTGTCTGTGCCAGCTCTTCTGGTCACATGAAGAATATTGTGCAATGCATTTCTAATGACAACTGTTTAAAATGTATATTTAATTATATCCTAGTTTATAAAACCACCTGTCTTTGATTTATTCCTGTCTTGGTCTTTGAAAATTTCATTTCTCCTGTAACTGAAATGCTTTTCTTTTCTCCTACTTCAGGTGCTTTATTCTTTCCTGGTGTTCCCCCTTTGCAGTATATTTCAGATGTGTTGATGTTATTTTATCAGTTTCTAAATTGTGATACCCTTAAGGAATGTAAAATGTAAAACAAGTATTTTTTATATAATTTATTTTCTTTTAGTCTGAGAATAAGGGATTAGAAGCTACCAAGAGCAATGTCATTCAACAAGTTTCAGGAGAGGGAAGAAAATCCAAGTCTAAACCAGGTAGGTATGCAAGTAGTCTTAATTTCTGTAGGTTGTTTTTATTAGTTTCAATATAGAACTTAATGCAAACCATGGAAATATTGTCATACTAAACAGCTGGATGGGCTGGGCTCATGACATAGCACATGCAAAACCCTGGGTTCCGTCCTATAAGTATAGTTCAGTACTACAGAAAACAAAACCCATACAAACAAATGAAGATGGACTGCTGCCTTGGCTTCTGTGGGTGGTGTCTTGAGTTTCTAGTACCATAAAACGTAAATGGTGAGGTATTGGTTTCTGTAGTTTGAATTTTTCCCCCTTAGTTAACATTAAAAGATGAATCTTACAGCTAAATTGATGTTAACTCCTGATTTACATGTTTTAAAACTTAGTGATGTAAAGTATTTAATTTTTCATTTGGGTATATAAAAGTATTTTTTCTGATCTTTATAGATAAACAGCTTATTCAGTATACTGCCTTTCCACTTCTTGCATTCCTCGATGGGAACTCTGCTTCTGCTATTGAACAGGGGAGTACAACAGCATCAACAGAAGTTATATCTTCTGGAGATAAGCCCATAGAAGCCAATGAGCTTCTGGATGGCAACCTGGACCCAGAACCAACCCAAAGCAAGCTTGTTCGGCTGGAGCCATTGACTGAAGCCGAAGCTAGTGAAGCCACACTGTTTTATTTATGTGAACTTGCTCCTGCACCTCTGGATAGTGAAATGCCACTTTTAGATAGTTAAATCCTCAAATGGACACATATGTATATATTCATCAAAATGATGAAGTATTTATTTTAAAGTATTGGTACTTTGTTTTGTAAATTACTTTTTGTTTAATCAGATACTGTGGAATAAAAGCACCTTTTGCTTTTTTCACTAACCACACTCTAGCAAAGCTTTCGGGTGTTACTCGGCTGCCTATATATAAACTTTAATGCACATTATTGGCATATCTTAGGTTGAATTCAAATGGCCATTTCTCCAGTTGTAGTAATTTGGATTTTTTATATGCAAATATGACCATTTAATCCCAGTTAAACTTGGTTATTTTCAATTGACTTTAAGTGTTTTAGAACTAAAGGTAGAAAACTGGTCTAGTTACCATTAAGTATTTTTGACTTGGCTTATTTTTAAAACTGGGAACATAAAGTGCCTGTATCTTGTAATATTTCATGTCTTTCTTTGTTCAGAGAAATTCTTTTATGTTCAGAGAAATGTATTCTCAACAAAAAAGGCAAAGTACACGAGTAATCACTCTGAAGGGTTTCCAGCTCCACACACATAGAATGTGGAAACAGGTTGCAGTTAACCCTGTCCACTTAGACTAGGTTAAGTATGTTTTCTGGTTTGTTCTTTTGGACCATGGTATTTAGTAAAATAAATATGACGATGTTGAGTACTAGTATTGTTGTGTTGCCTTTGGGAGTGATGCCCACATGAGGCAGCTCTAAACTGTGTTGTCCATCTTCATCATACTGAGTCACATCAAGATCTCTGTGCTTTATGTGAAAATATAGACTGGCAGTAAGGAAAGAATATGATGCTTCTAGTCTTACGTGTTTTAATGTTATTTTGTTTAAGAAGTATATTAGCTTGCTTTTTATGTTTCTAATAAAGAACTGAGAGAAAACAAGGTGAGAACATTATCAGTAGATGCCCCCAAATTTTTTGCTCCGATAACAAGATAAGAGAATCATATCAACTTTTCCCTTTGAAGGATTGGAGAGACCTTAAGGCCAAGAGTACTTTAAAACTTGAGGAAGTCGCCGGGGCGGTGGTGGCGCACGCCTTTAATCCCAGCACTCGGGAGGCAGAGGCAGGCGGATCTCTGTGAGTTCGAGGCCAGGCTGGACCGACAGCCTCCAATACAATACAGAGAAACTGTCTCGTAAAACCAAAAAAAAAAAAAAAACCTTCAAGAAGTCTATATTCAGGCAGAGGGCTACAAGCAACGCAGTTAACACCTAAATATTACATAAAATTATGCAGTAAGGTGTTTCAAAAAGGCTTTTCTGTTGGACGTATTGTGCCTCAGGTATTAAATTTTTTCTTCCATGTGGTAAATTAGAGATCTAGTAATAGAAATGAAGCATTCTCTGGTCTTTTCTGATCCCTTGTTCAGTCCTCCAGTCTATTCCTTCACTGGCTTCATGCAGAGAAGTACACAGCTTCTAAAACTGACCATTCACAAAAGGAACAGACTTGGCTTTCCAAATCAGTTTATAGGAGAGCCACCCAGCCCTCCTGCAATACCCACTTCAGACCAATCAATCATCTTTGATTACGATGAGCTTTTGATTTGTGAAAGCTTTTAGTGTTCAATGGTACAGAACAGCCCAAATTTTGTGAGCTGTTAAACATGAAGAGGTAATTTTTTTCACAAATACATCCTTTACTGGGATAAACAGGATTCAAGCTTTAATAAAAGCTGTTGGCATCAGTTTTGGTTGTTTCTTATCGATATAACAAATTTATATATTGATATAAAGGAAAGTTTTTATATATCTGAATTCAGCTAGTCATCAGTTATGTTTAATTTTTCTGAAAGCAAAATGTCAAAGATTAGACTAATGTGAAAAGCAACAAACAAGAAATGAAACTCACCCTAGGTGCCATCTGCCCAAATTTGGGCCTGATCTGTTCAGAGGAATTCAGATCTTTCATCCTGTATAAAGGTCATACCCTACTGAAGAGCAGAGCAAATTATGTAAAAGGAATGAGGTACAGGTTGGACAGTGTCCTTTCCAAGTGAATCAATTGATCTTTCAGTCAGCCCAGCTGGCTTTTGCTGCTTTCAGGCAGCTGGGGCTTGTCTGAGTCTTTGTGGCTTAGCTTTTTTTCTGAGAACTCAGCTTTTCTTGCTTATTATGGCAGGAAGGGGCCTAGTGAATCTGGTTGGTTTCAGGAACCTCCCTGAAGCTATTTTGAGTTGTTTTCCTTAAGTGCTTCTTACTATAGGATGCAATGTTTTAATCTTAGGAAACTTACGTAACGGGTAGTGTTTCTTTTGACCCTGGCTGTCCCCAGCAAATAGTCTTTGGTCTAGCCACCACATCTTACATTCATACTTAGGGGATGAATGGGCCCCAAAGAAATAAATAGTATGGTAGGTACATCAATCAATTCCAAATATAGTAAAGATTATATTTTTTTATTCAAAGTTATCTTAAACAGGCTTAAGAGTACATAGTTTTAAATGCTCTCAAAGCCTATTATTAACTTTGCCACAGGTTAAAGTTTGGTTTGCAAAGGCAACCTACAAGTAGTAGTTCTTAAACATTTCCACATTTTATGATTTGTTTTACACTAACCCAGATTGAGTTGTTACTTATTTTCTTACTACTTGCAGCCCGACACCTATTGTCTAGTTTTGGCTATTAAAACTGCTGTAGTGGCTAAAGACTAGAGCTCAGTTCTCAGCACCAGTCAGGCAGTTCACAACCACTTGTAAATAGACCCCAAGAATCCAGTGCCTTCTCCTGCCCTCAAGCCTGTCTGTCTCTTTCCTAGACAGTTACAGTATTTACAAATAAAATATACCAAAGTTTGGCAGCTGCTATAATTGATGTCAAATATCCCTATATAGATGGCATGGTTCCCAGGAAACTACAGAAGGTGGGGCCTTGTGGGCATGTCCTTGAAGATGATGTAATCCTGGCCCCTTTCCAGGGTGAGGAGTCCAGAATCTTGCTCTGCCATGGATTCTCACTGGCATGGTACCTTGACAAACTTTTTAAGTTTATAGTGAAAGTTAATGTAGTAATTCACAGATAGGGATATTTTTATCAATACAGTTATGTACTGGTTCATGTTTATGTCAACTACAAACAAGCTAGAGTTATAGAAATAGAAAACCTCAGTTGAGGAAATACCCCCAACTATACTGGCCAGTAGGCAAGCCTGCTAGTTATTTTCTTAAGACATCATTGATGTAGGAGGGCCCAGGCCAACCTGCAATAGTATAGAAGCAGGAAGATGAAATCATAGGGAGTAATTACTGCCAGTGAGGAAGCTGTACTCTCCCATGGCCTCTGCATCCATTCTTCCCTGAGTTGGTTATGGGGTTTTATCACAGCAGCAGAAAGAAACCCTGAGACCAATTACATTGTTCACCACACTGACCACAACTTTTAAAAACATGGCTGGCCTGGCGAAGGACACGAGGTGTGCACTTTCAGTTTTCAGAACTAAAATGCATTCTCCAAACTGAACTGGCTCACCTACTGAAGGATCTTTAGAGGTAAGAACACCACCTTACTTTTGAGAACCAAGCCCAGGATTCATTTACAGTCACAAAAGGGGTAAAATTACTTTCAAAATTCATTTTTCAGGGCAGAAAGTGGGTATTTCCTCTGGAGAGCCAAGTTCTTTTCACACAGGAAAAAAGAAATTGAGTTAAATTCACATTAATGCTAAGAACTACCACCACACATTTTCTCTGAATTCATTTATTTAAGACACATAACAGCCATTCAAAATTGTGAAACACAATAGTAACACAGAGTAAGTTTGGGAAATTAAGAGTAATTGTTATATTCCATGTGCAGAATAAATATTTTTAAAGAAGCAAATTTAAGCTTTACTAAATACTAATTTACACATAAATAAGCATTTTTATCTAAATCAAGTTGACTATCAACTACATGGCAGTAAATACAAACATTTTAAGCAATGTTTAAATGTATAGTGTTATATAATGTAAGTAGTCTATTCTAACAAGTTCATTTATACTCCTGGACTTCATGTTTGGATAAAAAGCATGCTGAATAGCAGCAATACATATCACACAAATTATCTACTGTTAATGATTTATTAAGTGAATAGTGCATTTTGGATACAAAAGTTTTATGTCAGAATATTGGCTAGTTTTGGTAAACACAGTTTCTCAACGTTGCCACTAACTAGCTACTTGAGCTGGACTAGATCTTAAGTACCCAGCCCAGAGTGTAACAACACTTCATGTTCCATCCGAGGTTTCCCAGTTTGATTTGCAAATGTTTAGCGTCAAATTTTTCTAACACATGATTTTCCTTTTTAAAACCTTGTATAAATGTTTCAGAGCTGCTAACATCTCTCTGAAATCCATAATTGTATGTTTGTAAAGACCAAAGTTCATTTTGTTGGTGAAGGCCACCCGTTTTTACAGAAAGTCATGATCTAAGGTCTTAGATCTCATAATCTATGAGTATTCACTTTAAAACCTACTACTGGAGACTTTTCTATGAAGGCTTTTGTATGTTCCTTAGCTTCCCTCCACATCCTAACTTTTCCATTGAACATGAACATTCTGTACCAAGTAAGAGAAAATCCTGGCAAACCTAAAAGTGACTTGCATTTTTCAGACAACTAGTTTGTGACTTATCTACATAATATTAGAACAGCTATTTGCTTTGCAGTCCTCTGTAAGGCAACACACCAAGTATTTGAAAAGGCAGCCATAGTTATGTTTCTAAAATAGCATAAGGTCTAACACAATTTTGAAACCAATTGTTAAGAATTCTTGTCACTTTTAATTTCATATGTACAAAGTAGATGATATGTCTATCAGCATCCATCTTTCCTAATTTACTACCTTATTCAAAATTCTCCCTTTGCAGTTCATATCATCAATACACTTAGCAAGAATGTGAAAAAAATGGCACAGTAAATCTAATTCATGCAAGAGAAAAATAGTTATACAACAACGCATACAACTTTACAAAAACTGCGAATACTGTTAATGTCAAATAAACAATGACCAAAATGGGACTTTCATGCCAGAAGTCCGATTCAGTCAAAATCACGATTTGTAAGAACCAGTGGTGCTACCAGTGTCCAAACGTACAGCACGATGCCAATCCAGCTGGAAGAGATTTTCACCCACACTGCTGTCCACTGGCTCTTCATCTCATGCGAAGGTTCATACCTAAAATTTGAGGAAACAGAAGTGACTACTTTGGTAAGTGGACTGTGTTACTAAGCCATCAAGCCCCTTCACTCCAGCGTCCTTTGTATGCAGTTTGTGATACCAATGTGCAATAGCTCATCCTGTTGCCATGCCTTCCATACTGATGCATCAGGAAAACTTCTTTGAATACAGCACAGAACTCTGGGGCAAATCTTTCACATAGTTCTGAGGCATTGTATGTAATTCTATGTTATTAAATAAGAGCAGATGAAACAAGTAAATAATATGTACCTATTATGTACAAGGCTGAAAGGTTTATGGGCCTCCCTTCTCAGTTAATGCCACTTCCTCTCTTCAAATTTGACAGATGGGGAAGGAAATATATCCTTAAGTTGGCTGATTTTTGTATACCAACAGAAATATACATCTTTTTTAAAACTATCAATTACTGAGAAATACTTTTAAGCTTACTTAATAAGATGTAGTTTAAGAATATGGTAAAATATACTTTTTCATAATAATGAGTAAATATTAGCCTAAAAAACATCAGGTAAGGATAATATTTTTCTCCATCTTTTGCTGATACAATAAATAATCTTATATACTATTTAGAGATGAATTAAACATTATTGAAAACACACTTGTTCAGTCACATCAGTAAATGTCAGTTTTGCATAGAATTTTTGGTAATCATTTGAGATAGTCAGTTTAAAAATAAACTATAAATTGTTACTGATGGAAGATGTCATTCTGTAAATCTGTCTCTTATTGGTTGTTAAATAAAGCACTGTTGGCCAATAGAGAAGCAAGATAGGTGGGACTAGGAATCAAGGAGGATTCTGAAAAATAGAGGCAGAGGGAGACACCATGTAGACCGCCAGAGTAAAAGGTCTGGACCCTTTCTCTGGTAAGAGAAATACTTATATTAACAATTATGAGTTAAATACTTAAGTCAGAGATAGCCAGTAAGAAACCAAGCAAACGGCCAACAGCATCATAATTAATATAGTGTCCTATGTGTTACTTGGGGGTTCAGACAGCTCGGCAGGGCCCAGGTGGCTAGCAGAGGAAAATTATAGTTACTTTTTATCAGAAAAGTATTTATGAATTAATTTTGAAGACATAATAAACATAGTAAAGAGAATACTAAAAATCAAACCACATAATATATTTGCATTAAAAGATTTTCAGATTATCTTATATCTGAAACTTGTATCTGATACTTTATGTGTATGATTGTTTTACCTCTATGAATATGTCTGCATATGGTGCCCATGTCTATACACGGTTATCAGGTCAGATACAAAAATTGTATCATATGGGTGCTGGAAATTGAATCTGGGTCCTCTAGAGAAGCAGCCAGTGTTCTCAACCAGAGTCATCTATCTCATTAGCCCAGCTTAATGATATAATTTTAAAAGAACCATTGTTTATAAAACTATATTATTGCTAATGTGTGTTAAGAATAAATTTACAGTATTAAAAATTAAAACTAACAGCATGTTAAATCAACTATTAATATGCATTTCTGTTAAAACATGGTTATATAAAGTTTTCCATTTAAACTTCTTCAAGATTTGGACAACCATATTTGTGTAATTGTTAAGCAAGTAAAGCCTGCACTTCTCACTCTCTCAGAATGCACTTTAACTAAATACTGAAATACATCAGAGTATTAAAAAATATTCTGGAGCTTGAGAAATGGCTTGCCTTGCAAACATAAGGACTGGATTCTGACCCCCAGCACCCACATTTGTAATAAGCCAGATATGGAGGCACTCACTCACTTCTCATTCCAGAGGGTAAAGGTGGAAATAGGGTAAGCATTGGAGTTTTCTGGTTAGCTAGCTACTCTATACCAGTGTTCTGCAGAACCTGAGGAACACATGTGAGTTCCATCTCTGGCCTTCACACACCAGGTACAAAGTACTAGTCACTGGCATGTATTTTTACAAGTCATGAAAAATCCACCAAAATTACATGAAGTTAATGTGAAATGTTAAGTACCTGTACCAGTTGGTGAGGGTCATCATGATATAAAGCGAAGCCAGGAAAAGCATGAAGTGAAAGAAGGAGTAACTGTAAGTGACGCCATCCCTCTCATTATCTACAGCTCGGTGAACATCATCCCCGTCTTCTAGGGATCCATCACTTCTGGCATTCCCATCTTCTATCAGTGTTGACTCATCACTTGTTAGAGTCAGTTTATTAACCTGACTATTGTTGGAAGTACGGATGCTGCATGAAAAAGTCAAGGAAAGAAACAACTTTTAAAAATAAATAATTCTAATTTATATAAATACACTTCCTGTAAAAGTAGATTTTATACCCTTTCTTACCTTGAGTAAAACACACACAGTAGGAAGAGAACCAGTCCTATAATTCCTTGGGGATGCCACCACTGGACAGACTGCCCGTCCTTTGGGAGAGGCCTTGTAGTATTGAAGCCAATGATACTTAGTAGACTTGGATTGCAATTTGTTTCTATAAGGAACATTAATGTTAAATTAAATGTTAGAGTAATATAAAAAATTAGGACATATTTAACCCTTGGAACCTCAAAAAGGGTTGATTAACAGAGGCACAAGCTAATGACATAATTGAACATTATATATATATATATATATATATATATATATATATATATATATATATATATATATGTATGTATATATATAAAGACTTATGGGGTTTTCTTGCCTAGCTTTATTTTAGAGAACTGTTTAGAAAACTTAAATCACTTCATTTCCAACTTTATGAGAGCCAAGATATCTTGATCAACAAATGGATACAATTTACACAACCCACCTAAAGTAAGTACATTTAGAAATACAATGCAAACTGGTGTAGCCATTTCAATATCTAACAAAATAGACTACAAGCCAAAACTAACAGGTAAGGACACTACATTCTCATCAAAGGAAAAATTCACCAAATGGCATTTCAATTCTGAACATCTGTGTCCCAAACTCAAGGACACCCAAGTTTGTAAAACAAACACTACTATAGCTTAATCACATATTGACCCTCACACACTAATAGTGGGAAGATTTCAATACCCCACTCTCACTGATGGGTAAGTCATCCAGACAAAAAGTAAACAGCGAAAGCTGGAACTAATGAACATTACAAACCAAATGAATCTAACAGATTTTTACAGAATACAAAAGAATATACCTTCTCTTCACCTCATTAAACTTTTTCCAAAAGTGACCACATACTTGGACACAAAGCAAGTCTCAACAGATAGAAGAAAAATGTAATAACTCCCTGAATCTTGTCAGACCACCATGGATTAAAGATGGCTAGCCACAAAAGAAACAGCAGAAAGCTTACAAACTCAAGGAAACTGAATGAAAATGGGCATAGACAGAAATAAGTTAGAGAGTCTACAATCAAATGAAAGCACACATCATACTCAAGCTTATGGGATACAGTGAAAGGGGTGCTAAGAGGAAAGTTCATAGCACTAGGTGTCCATATAAAAGGAATCAGAGATATCTCATACTAGCATAGCAATTTAACAGCACACCTGAAAGCTCTAGAAGAAAAATAAGCACACCCAAGACCAGACAGTAAACTGAGGGCTGAAATAAAATTTTTAAAAAAGCAAAGAGAACAATACAAAGAATAAAACCAAAAGTTGTTTTGAGAAAAATCAAGATAGACAACCCTTATCCAAACTAGTCTAAAAAGACAGGGAATATCCAAATTAACAAAATTAGTAAAGGGGGACATAAGAAGACTCCAATAAAACCCAGAGAATTATAAGGACATACTAAAAACCTGTATCCACCAAATTGGATAATCTAAAAGAAATGGATAATTTTCTCTATAGGTATCACTTACCAAAACTAAATCCAAGATCAGGTAAAATAAACAAATATTAAACCTTTAAGGAAATAAAAGCAGTCATTAAAATTCTAATTCTAAAATTCTAAGAAAGCCCAGGACCAGATGTTTTTAGTGCAGAACTGTCAAAATAGAGTTAATGCCAATACTCTTCAAATTATTCCAGACAATAGAAACAGAAGGAACATTGTCCAGTTCATTTTACTCTGATATCTAAACTACACAAAGACTCAACAAAGAACTTTCACAACTACAGACCATTTTCTTTTATGAACAAAGGTACAAAAATATTCAATAAAACACTTGGAAACCGAATGCAAGAACACATCAAGAAGATCATAAGTGGGCTTTATCCCAGAGATGCAGGGATGGTTCAATACATAAAAATCTGTCAATGTAATCCACAATATAAACAAACTGAAAGAAAAGAATTACATGGTCATCTCATTAAAAGCAGAAAAGGCTTTTGAAAAAATCCAACACCATGATAAAACCGGAGAGATTAGGGATGCAGGGTCATAACTAAACATAGAAAGGGCTATTTACACCAAGCTAATATCCAACACATATTAAGTGAAGAGAAACGCAAAACAATTCCACTAAAATCAGGAACAACACAACGCTATCCACTCTTTCCACATCTCTTCAATATAGTACTTATTGCTAGAGCAATAAGACAACTGAAGGAGATCAAGAGGATACCAATTGGAAAGGAAGTAGTCAAAAGTATCACTAGTTGCAGATGATATGACAGTATACACAAGTGACCCTAAAAATTCTATCAGTGATCTAGAAACTGATAAACACTTTCAGCAAAGTGGCTGCCTCAAATAATATAAAATATTTTGGGGTACCTCTAATCAAGAAATAAGCAAGAGGAAGATATATGACTGAAAATTCAAGTCTTTGAAGACAGAAACGGAAGATGTTAGAAGATAGAAAGCTCCCACAGTAAAAACACTCATCTTACCAAAAGCAATCTACAGATTCAATGCAATCATCTTCAAAATTCCAACACAATTCTTATCAGACCTTGACAGGACAATTCTCAACCTAATATGAAAAACAAAAACCATCAAACAAACTAAAAACCAAAAAACGGGATAGTTAAAAAAAAATCCTGAACAATAATAGACCTGGTTTTTCATTTAATAATTAAAAAAAAAGGCCAGAAATACACATTGGAAAAAGACAGCATCTTCAACAAATGGTGCTGATCAAGCTAGATGCTTGCATGTCAAAGAATGTAAATAGATTCATACTCATCACTCTTCACAAAACCCACGTCCAAGTGGATCAAAGGCCTCAATATAAAACTAGTCGAGTTGACAAAGTGGCAGGCTACAGAATGAGAAAAGAGGTTTTACCAACTCCATTCACATCTAATAGAGAGGACTAACATCCAAAATATACAAAGAACTTAAACTAAATAGCACAAAACCAAATAATCCAATTTGGGGGAAAAAAAAAACAGCACAAAATTAAACAGAGAATTCCCAATAGAGGAATAGCTGAGAAACACTTAAAGAAACATTCAACATCCTTATCCAACGCAGAAATACGAATCAAAACTACCTTGAGATTCAATCTTATACCTGTCAAAATGGCTAAATTCAGTAACACAATTGACAGCTCATGCTGGTGAGAATATGGAGCAAGAGGAACACTCTTCCACTGCTGGTGGGAGTACAAACCTGTACAGTCTCTATGGAATTCAGTATAGTGGTTCCTCAGAAAGTTGGGAATCGATCTACCTCATGATCGAGCTACATCACTCCTAGGCATAAACCCAAAGGATGCTCTATCCTTACAAGGACACTTGCTCAACAATATTCACTGAAGCTTTATTCATAAAAGGCAAAGAAACTGCAAACAACCTACTGTCACTCAATAGAAGAATGGATAAAGAAGAGGCGGTGCATGTACACAACAGAGTATTACTCAGCTGTTAAAAAACATGACAACACTTGATCTTAGCCAAAAGGCCGAGAAGCGAGGCATCACCATACCTGACTTCAAGCTCTATTATAGAGCTATAGTCCTGAAAACAGCTTGGTATTGGCACAAAAATAGGCAGGTAGACCAATGGAACCGAATCGAAAGCCCTAATTTTAACCCACACACCTATGAAAACCTGATTTTTGACAAAGAAGCTAAAACTGTACAGTGGAAAAAAGAAAGCATCTTCAACAAATGGTGCTGGCATAACTGGGTAGTGGTATGCAGAAGACTGCAGATAGATCGATGTTTATCGCCTTGTACAAAACTTAAGTCCAAATGGATCAAAGATCTCAACATATATCCAGCCACACTGAAACTTTTAGAAGAGAAAGTGGGAGATACTCTTCAACGAGTTGGTACAGGAGACCACTTCCTAAACATAACACCAGTGGCACAGGCACTGAGATCGACAATTAACAAATGGGACCTTCTGAAACTAAAAAGCTTCTGTAAGGCAAAGGACACAGTCAAAAAGACAAAAAGGCAGGCCACAGAATGGGAAAAGATATTCACTAACCCTACATCTGACAGAGGGCTAATCTCCAAAATTTACAAAGAACTCAAGAAACAAGTCTCCAAAACACCAAAGGATCCACTTGAAAGGTGGGGTACAGAGCTAAATAGAGAATTCTCAGTAGAGGAGGCTAAAATGGCCAAGAGACACTTAAGAAAGTGCTCAACATCCTTAGCCATCAGGGAAATGCAAATCAAAACAACTCTGAGATACCATCTTACTCATGTCAGAATGGCTAGAATCAAAAACACCGAAGACAATTTATGCTGGAGGGGATGTGGAGAGAGAGGAACACTCCTCCACTGCTGGTGGGAATGCCGACTCATACAGCCTCTTTGGAAATCAGTATGGAGATTCCTCAGGAAAATGGGAATTAATCTACCACTAGACCCAGCAATTCCACTCTTAGGCATTTATCCAAATGAGGCAGGTTCATACAACAAGGGCATCTGCTCCACTATGTTCATAGCAGCATTGTTTGTAATAGCCAGAACCTGGAAGCAACCTAGATACCCCTCAACTGAAGAGTGGATAGAGAAAATGTGGTACATTTACACAATGGAGTATTACTCAGCAGAAAAAAACAATGGAATCTTGAAATTCGCAGGGAAATGGATAGCACTGGAAGAAACCATCCTGAGTGAGGTAACCCAGTCGCAAAAAGACAAACATGGTATGTACTCACTCATATATGGATTTTAGATATGGATCAGGATAGTGCCAGTCTGCACTTCCACAGATAGAGAGTCTGGGAAACAGGAAAGAACCTAAAAGATATGCATATATGCATAGTACCCAAGAGAAGAGGATGGAGACAAGATCCTCTGAATGGATGGGGAACAGGGCGAGGGGGTAGTGGGACCTGGGAAGAATAGAGGGGGTAAAGAGGAAGGGAGTTGGTCATGGGGGAACAGGAAGTTGAGGGGGTGGGGGTAGAATAGGGGGAAGAGGGAATCATAGGATCGAAGACAGATCAGGCACCAGAGTGACCTCGAGTGATCTAAAGGTATAACATCAATTGGCAAGCTAAGCAATAGTGGAAGGACCACCTCGAATGCCCATTCCTGATAATGAACTTGATGTCTATAACTATCCGGGAGCCTACATCCTGGGACTGATGGAAGCAGAGGCAAACACACAACTAAGCACTGAACTGAACCCAAGGAACCCAGTGACAGAGAGAGAGGAATGATGAGCAAATTGGCAAAGAATGGGCTGGCAAAACCAGCAGAGACAGCTGATCTGAACAGGGGAGTGCTCTTGGACCCCAGACCGACAGTGGGGAGGCCAGAATGGGACTGATCTGGACCCCCCAAATGTGAGTGTCAGTGAGAAGGCCTGGACAACCTATGGGGCTCTGAGCTGTGGATCAGTGTCTATCCCTGGTATACAATCTGTCTTCATGTGCCTATAGCACAAAGAGAGATGCTCTCTCAGCCTGGACTCTTAGGGGAGTGCCTTGACCCTACCAAGAGTAAAATGATAGACTCTAGACATCCCCTATGTGGAAGGATTTGGCAATAGGGTGGGAGGGAGGGTGGAAGGGGAGTGCGGGAGGAGGGGAGGGAGAGGGAACTGGGATTGACATGTAAAACAAGCTATTTAAAATTAAAATAAAAAAAATAATGTAAATCATCAAAAAAAAAACATGACAACACAAAATTTGCAGGTAAATAGATGTAACTAGAAAAAATTCAACCTGAGTGCATTATCTCAGACGCAGAAAGATAAATATGGTATATATTCACACATAAGCGCATATAAGTCATTAAATAAATGATAACCAAGCTACAATCTATAGACCCAGAGAGGTTAGGTACAGAGGATGGGCCTGGGGGAACACATGGTCTCTCTAATTTTAGGGCAAACTGGGTGCAGGTGAGGATAGGAACAGAGGGGAATCAGGTAGAAAGATAGATGTGGTGGAGGGAGAGATGGCTGGAATTGGGAGGATGCTTCGGGGGTGTGTAAAACCTAACACAATTCCAAATCTTCAATCTCAACTTTATTGATGAAAACTACGTAAGGCTAAATTCTCAAGCAAATCATTAGTGATATTTTAAAACTACTTATTTTGGCATGAGGGACGAGGATTTCTATACACTAAGATCCCTGTCTCTACAACAACTGAAAAAGTATCTAATGAGTTTGTAAACAGTGTGATGAGTCAGAGCACGTATTTTATACAAATATGATTTTACAGGAAAAAATTATTTTCTAAAAATTGTTATTTCTTTGTCCTTTCAAGACATACAGGCTTTTTATTTCCTAAGGGACTCAGTATGACTCAAGTACAAAGATTCATTACAAAGCCAGTTATTTATTGCAAGATAGTTACAAAAAAGAATGTGAAAACATTACAATTAAATTTACAACTGAAAAAGCACTTAAAGTGGTTCATACCCAGCATGGTGGAGGCTGTGGCAGAAGGAATGCCAAGAGGTAATGATCAGCCTGTCCTACAAAGTGAAACTTTGTCACACACAAAACATTGAATACTTTATTTCTTCCTATATACAACTATCTTAAACACTATAAATGTTAAGTATACATGTCTTCATGATTTCTTAGAACCAGATCATTTTGTTAATGAAGGAAGAAACTAAATGAAAAGAAAAACAGCAATAGCTTAAAGATGAAGTAGTACTTACTACTTACATGCTCTACTCCTCTACCAGTCTAATTAAGTAATTTCCTCCCTTAAAATGAACAGCTTTGAATAAAGAAAGTCAATACTACAAGACTGATAAATAAAACATACCTGGTTCATTGGTCATAGCAGACCATGTCAAATACATTGTGTAGACTGTAATTACTGAAGACTGTAACAAACCAGATCTTGGTTGTGATTCCTACAAACAGAATATTAAGTAATGTAAATAAATATCTGACATTCTGATTGATGAAATTTGGAAGTTGAAAGCTTCAAAAACTGAGTGTGGGTTAGTACGTACTTGGATCTTGGGCAGTATAGACATTACAGAAGCACCAATGCAGAGAAGCATGTTGACACTGATAAATGCCTTATTTTCCGAACAACCGGCTGGGTGAGTGTAGTAGACAAAGAATAAGATGATGGCAACTAATGACAGCAAATAATTCATAGCTGTAGCTGATAACAGGGCTGGGAAAGAAGCACAATTGTATTATTAGATTTCTTAATAAAAATATTAGAAATTCAGCATGGCGCTTGCTTTTAAATAAATCTTTTATTTTACATAACTAATCAATTAACTCAAGCTTGCTATTATAATTATACTACAACAGAAATCCCCTTAAGTGCTAGGCATCCTTTATACTTCTATAAAGCATTCCAAAACTTTTGGTTTTTTTGTTTATTGCTGCTGATGAATTAACACAATTATGCATTATTTTTAGAAGTCTTACCTTTTAAATTTTTACGTTTAATGTACTGGGAAATTTGAGAGTAAAAATATATGCTTTAAGCTATGGACCCTGAACATCATCCTGGCTATTCAAGGGTCTTCTGGTTTCCTTACTAGTCCTCAGATATAGAGCTAGTTAATAAGTTACAAATTTTCAACAAGTTGCTGATACAGCACTCATAAACTTAAATTGAAAATCTCTTTATAGGAAATTAGAACACAAAACTCCTAAGATTTCCTTGCAACCCATCTGTTGTCATCAATGTTCATTATAATGAGGACACTCTATGAAATAAAAGCTTACCTGCATACCAACACCTTGAGTTTCCTTCTTCCATTTTTTCAACCCACGTTTCATTCCAAGAATGGGCAAAGTCAATAAGCAAGACTAGTTGTATGAGGATGAAACAAAAGGCACCTGCCATGCCTACATAAAACCACACTGAAAGGAAAAATAATATCTATTAAGCAAAGGGACAACTGCTTTCGTTTTTTATTGTTTTTCTTAATAATCATGTTACAAAAAGGGAAAACAAAAGTATATGGAAATTGATTTTGCAACTGGGAAAAAAAGAAAACCTAAACAGTAAAAGAATAACAATTCCAGGTAGCAGTTACTGTGGCATCCTATAAAACAAGCAAACAAACAAAAAAATCATCACAGAATTAAAAAAAAAAATCCTCACCAGTTGTAAAAGTGCCTTCAGGAATGAAGAAAGCTCCAACAATAATTGCGACTGCTGTAGCAAATTTAAAGAACCAGAATCTAAGACAGAAAGAAATGTAATTTTTAATAATAAGCACCCAACAAATAACTCTAACAGTACATCTTTTCAGAACCACTTAAAGAACGGCTATACTTTACATAATAGTTTTAAGCATATACTTAAGAAAAAAAAGACTCCTACATAGGCTATTGTAAAGATGGTCTTAAGAAAAATGTGCCAATAATTCACTTGAGAATACTGGCTTCATTCCAAAGGATTGAACTGGATAATATGTGAATATTTAAAGTAAAAATTAATTTCACAAAATGAATAGGTTTAATAAATTATGACAGATGTCTATATCCCAAATAATAATTTAAGCTACAATGGCAAAAATTTATTATAGAATATTTTTATTAATGTAATATTATATTTTTATCCCATCTTTGGTATAGCATGTTAACAAATCAGCAATAAAACATATCAAGAAAAAATTTGTAGGAAGAAACAGACAAAATTAAAACATTTAAATAAACATTTAAATAAAGAAGACTGATTAGCACTTTTTTCTTTCTGGGTTATGAAAACAATTACCTAGAAAATCAGTGCCTGTTTGGGAATAAAGTTCTTTTCATTTGGTTGCCTTGTAGATCTAGGAAATTGACAGTTCTATGAAATAGGACCAGATCACCAAAAGCTAAAAGAAGGGGCAATAGTACCTCTTCCTTCAATCATGTATATACATCCTCCTTTGAAATTAAAATACATCATCAGAGGTGATGCTAATCAATGACTTACCACCATTATTTAATATTTAAACAAGACTCTCTAGTAAAATCAACTGGAGTTCTTAAAACTTTTTCATGGTCATGATGATTCTGCTCTGAAATTTCTTTGGATAAATTCAAAATTACCAGGAGGGAAAAAGGCTCTCTAGACTTTTCTGTCATGTAATTCAAGGCTTACCCGTTGTGGACAGCGGCTCTAGGATCGCTGCTGCTTTTCACTTTGATCATTAGTAAAGAGAGGAGAAGGTAGAACATGGCCAAGCCAAAGCACAAGCGATACACAGCTTTGTAGCCAACCAGAATATTACAAGGAACAACACCCTTCTCATTCTCACAGAACCCAGGAATCTAGGAAAACAAAATGGGTTTATGATCAGCATTTTCATGAACTCAAAATTCCATGGCAACTGTAATTTGCGTTACAAGTCATGCACTAGGGGAGGCAGAAGTAGGCAGAGCTCCATGATTTCCAGGTCAGCCTGGTTTACACATAGGTCTAAGCCACCTGGGGCTACATAGTAAGACTTTTTTCACAAAAAAACAAAAAACAAAAAACTTCCAAATGAGCCAATAATAATGACCTAACAATGGCCACATCTATGTTGGATGATTATTTTGAGCTGACAATGTATTGTAATTCTTTAAATGTGTATCTGAATGTTACATAAAAAACAAAATGTACATATTTATAGCATACCATAATTCTAAATTTTATAAGACTTGCATTCTACTGTAAGGTACATATTACATATGTAAGGTACATGGGAAGAAATGAACAAAAGCTTAAATTACATAAAAGTCATTTTTAAGACTGCAGAGAATAAAAATGGCTTTTTAAAAATCAATGCTATTTAAATCCATTTAGGATCATAAGTAGATTATTAACTTTTTTGATGTTTTCTATTTTTTACACATTTTCATTAATTAACTTTTACATTCCAATCCCAGTTTCCCCTCTCTACTCTCCTCCCACTTGCTCCACAGAGAGGGTAGGGCCTCCCCTAGGAAGCCTACTAAGTCTAGTTGAGGCAGTACCATCATTCTAGTTGAGGCAGAACCAAGACATCTCTCTACCCCTCAACACCCCTGTGTCTAGGCTGGGCAAGGTTAGATTATTGACTTAACTTGAGCTGGCAATATAGTCATACTTTTATTGAGAATCTTGAGAAATAGCAGTGACCTTTTCAGAAAGGTAACTGGGTAGGGGTGGAGAGGTATAATAATAGAGTCCTTCCCATAATACACAGGTGAGGCTCTGGGCTTGGTCTCCACCGACACTCACAAAGTCACAGTTAAATTAGAATGCAAAATAGGAACTTTTGTGAGTTAAGTGTCAGTATTATTTAAAACTACATATGTTATATGTGTAAGAATAAACCATTCCTCCCACACCTAGTCCCAGTATCACAAACCTACTGAATTTTAGGTATTAGTTTTATACCAGTCATATCCAACAGCTGCTGAAATCCTTACCTTCTTTAATCCTTGGTACACTGACAAGTTCCAACAATTCTGTCTAAATCCTGTATGTTTAGTTTCTCCCAGTGCTGTGACTCCCCTCTGTCAGCTCACTAAAGAGCTGTTAAGGAAGCTATGACACCACTAACTCTGAATGGGTTTCCACAGCATATGCTGCCAGGATTTCCATTTCCAGCTCTCGAAACGTGCTCAACCTGGTCTCAACTAATGTGTTCTCTTTCCTCACAGATGTACAGGGTTTGGCCTCCATAACATCTGCCCAAAATTCATATTTAAAATTTATTTATTATGTATGGACATATGCCACAATACACTTCTGGAGACCAGATGGAACTCAAGCAAGTTAGTTGGTTTTCTCTTTCCATCGTGCAAGTTCCTAGGAAGGAACTCAGTTCACTGAGCTTCGTAGCAAGTACATTTAGCCAAAACCACCAAGTCACCTAACTGGCTACCTTGTAACTCTGATCCTTAATAGAACAAGATTAGGAAGGGGGAAAGAATTAGATCATCAAGTTCATCCTTCATTAAAAGACTTGTGCCTTTACATGAAAGGGTATGACACAGCCTGCTACTTCTCTCCTTACAACATGAAAATGCAAGACAGCCGAATGCAAACAACAGACCCTCACTGGACTCCAACCTTCTTGGCACACTTATTTCAATACCCCACAACCAAACATGTAAGACCGACACTTCCGTTAATGTCTTTATTGTAATTTTTTCAAAGATTGATTTTTGACTATGTATTTGTGTGCGTATATATGCACATGACTACAGGAACCTACAGAGGCCAGAAGAAGGTCTTCAGATTTCTGGGAGCTCAAGTTCAGGAAGCCATGAGCCACCCAACAATGGATGTTAGGAAACCAATTCTGGTCCTCTGGAAGAGCAGCAAGCACTGAACCGCCTCTCTCCAGCCCTTGTTTCTGGGTTAAGATCAGTATTTTCCCCCTAGTTTCCAAGAATGCCAGTCAGACTCAGTCATTACAAAATCCATAAAATCTATTTGAGGCCTGTTCCCTCACTTATCCTATCATTCCAATATCCTCTATATTCAAGCATTTGACTTCTGTCTTTATAAAGTTAATCTCCAGACATAATTTACTCAAGATCTTTCCCCGCTGTTACTGCTTCCTCATTTTCAGGCACTGCACTTAAGTTTTACTTATTTTTAAATGTTGCTTTTCAGGAACAAAACCCACAAACAGTCCACTTTACAATTACAGTGCTATTGGCTGGAGAGATGGCTCAGCCGTTAAAGGCTAGGCTCACAACCAAAAATACAATTACAGTGCTATTACCAAAGTACAGTTTCTTTACTTTTTTATCCCTATATATGTGTATGTATGTCTATATATATATATACACACACACATATACATGTATATGTTATACACAATAGATTTCAACATATTTTCATACATACATATATTTGATCATATTCACCCCATCACACTCTTGTTTCCCTCCATTTTCTGCTGATCCCTGTCATCTTCCTATCTACTTTCCTTCCAGTCTTTTGTTTTTCCTTGGACTCACTGGGCTTCATCCAGAAGCATTGAAGGGTTCTTTACAGGACCATGAGCATCTTAACACTGGCTACACCACTGAAAAAATTCCCTTGCCCCAGAAACTACTAACTGCATGTGAATTCCAAGAAAAGGCAGAATCTTGTGAGCTCCTCCCTTCTCCATCATTGGATGTTAGTGGATTCAATCTTGCGCACATTCTGTGCACACCCAGACACTGTGAGTTTGCAATTACAATGGTTATGTTATACCTGAAAGTTGGGATTAAATGCCACTCTTCATTTACCTCTGGTTCTTACCTTCTTTCTGTCCTACTTAAACAATGTTCACTGAGCCTTGGAAACAGTGACATACATAACCTCTTTATGGCTGAGCACTCAACCTTCAGGTATTCTCAACACTCTAACCAGTTTATGGGCCCCTGCAGGTACTGCAGACACTCCGTAAGCATCCACTGTAAAAAACAAGCTTCCCTGACCAAAACTGGCAATATCACTCATCTATAGATTTGAAGAACAGTTACTTAGAAGGAAATCTGATGGATAGTCTATTTAGTAAAACACCAGCAGTAGAATGCCCACTAGGCCCAACACTCTAGTTACATATTTTCAATAAGGTTGACAGTAAAAGAATTTACAATACCAGATGTAAATTCCTTCCAGTACACTGGGCCTCAAATCTAATCACAAGGCAACTGGTCATCTCTAACAGCCTTGCCACTGGACTAAGTAAGACTGCTAATGACAATTCTTTCCCAACAGCCTGCATAGCACCTTCTGATATGATGAGGGCTTGTCAGCAGGAAGGAGGCATGCAGACCACTGCCAGCCTGATTTCTTTATGTCCTAAGACTATATAGCATGTGGTTTCTTCAGTAATGGAATCTACCATCTAGTTCTGGTGGGAAACCAAAAACTGTAGAAATTGCCAAAGAGCATTTTCTGTGCTACCATTATAGAATTGAACAAGCTACCTCAATGTTTTTCCTAAGAGAATATGATCTACTAAAACTAGGGTTACATAGTACTGTATTTTCATATTACTTTCTTTTAATGCCCAAAAGTAACCTATGTATATTCTACAATGTCAGTTCATCAGGAGTAAACAAAAGACTGACCTTATTCAGTTGTTCTTCCATCCCTGGTATTAACATTACACAAGAAACACAAACTCCAACAAGCAAGAAAAGTGCATAGATCAATCTGGTCACAGTGGAGTTGTTTCCACTAGGGCAGCATCGGCACAGCAAGCATGGGGCGCTGCCACACAAACATGGGATCTGGGAAAAAATATGAATGATCAGCATAGTTCAAAGCGGTTCAATAAAAACATACATGCTACTTGCTGAAAAGGAGAGAGACATTAATTAAAAAGATTAAAAGCATCTGGTTCACATACATTATCTACCACAACACCAAAGAAATTGGTGTTCTTATTTTTTCCTCTTCCACTTTCTGTTTATAGGAATAAAACACTAAGAACAGGTTTTTTTTTTTTGAAGGCTAAGTGAACAACTGGTTAACAATTAGATAACTAGCTAACTTTTTCTAGTGAACTCTACACTAAACTAGGAAATAAATAGGCTCTTGACCAGAAGAGCTTAATGTATACAGGCATTAACAAGGAATGTCTCAAAAAGGCAAAGTTTAGGTATCTCACAAGGGCTGGCCATAACCTGGACTGAACTCTGTAAGTCAGACTTCAGGTTTGATGAACCAGGGTATTCCACTCTGGGGAAAGGAGTCACAGATATTCCAGGGCAATTGTGTTGTAGTAAAGTGCTACAGCCAATATAACTGGTAAGATGTACACAAGGCCGTTTTACATTATGTCACAGGAACAGAAATAGATGGCATAGTGATTATGAAAACATACATTTGAAAAATTAAAAATAAAGAGTTCTATGACTATAAGAGAAAAAAGTAAGACATTTTAAATAAAAGTAACCCACTAACCCAGTAAGAAAGGAAATATTCTGCCAGTGTACTTTATTTGAGCTATAGAAACAAAAGCCAGAGACAGAGAAACAGGGACAGAGAGACAGAGACAGAACACTAGCTCAGAAATGAAAAGAGAAAATAGCAGATCAGGGTGAATGGAATCACAAGAATAATGAAGGAGAAGAAAGAGGGAAAAAAACAAAAGGACTAATAAGCATGCTATCCAGGAACGAAAAGATACAGCTGATAACAAAATTATGAATGGGGAATAGTATCTGACATAATTACTTAAATAAATACAGACCGAGATGAAGTAACAGTGATATGACTTTTGCTTTAACAGTGAAAAAAAAAAAAACCAAGTATTTCAGACACAGTGGGAATTAATACAACTGTACAGAAGAAATACAAGGTAGTGATTTTGGAAATTAGATGATGTAAGCCATAGAATTTGCCCATCTTTCTACCTGGGAGAAAGGCTCAGCACAACAGTCTACTTGCTGAGACACAGATAGGAATTCAGAGAAGCGGAAGCAGCTAGCACTCCCAGGGCAGGGCTCCACAGAAGTGGAAGCGATGGGTCAAGCAAGCTCTATCCTCTGGACACATTCACATTCACAGAATGAGTTACTCAAGGAGGTTGTGGGTGATGGGTAGAGAAACAATATTACTGGGGTTACTTAGCATAAAATAGGCTGTACTCATTAAAAAAAAAGCAAGCATCAAAGACATAAAAATCTTTTAATTCACCTATGTCTAAGAACAAACCCAAAGAGTTAACATGAAAGTACGTGCAGCCTTCATCAAGGTAAATGACATCTAACAGAAAATGGGAAGTCATGCAGAGAAGCAGGGAAATAAAATCCATGAGGACCAAGTACTCAAAACTGACTGGGAGGGGACACATTTATAAAGGTCTTTTAATGTGACTGTCATGTACACTTCCCACACTCAAGTAATAGAGGGGAAACTCCAGCATGGAAAGGCTCACTATGGAAGATAATTTAAAAGAATCCTATTAAATATTTGGAGATTTCAAAAGATATGTCAACCAAAAAAACAGAAAAGACGAATGAATCTGAAGCCACAGCAACAGGAATGATCGACATAAAAAAAGGATGTTTAAAAAGGGGATCAGTGCTTTGGGACACAACTTCAAGCAGTTAATGTGAGTGAAATTAAGAATCCCTGAAGGACATAAGAAAAAGGAGTAATCCTGCAGAAATAATTACCAAATTTCCCTCAATTTAAAAACTACACATTCACATGTCTAAGTTGAATAAAGCCTCAGCAAAATAAACACAATAAAAATTATAGTAACACCACAACAGATTGCTTAAAAATCTCAAAAGCAGGCAAAATAATAGTAATATAAATAAGTAAATAAATTAAAAAGGCATATTATATAGAGGAACAAAGACAAAAAAAGCATTGATACTTCAGACAAAAGTCAGTACTACAAGAGAAAGAATTTTGCAGTCATTGCAAATAGTGTTCAAAAGTTAAGGTAAAAGAGGAACATTTTTAGGAGCAAAGAAAGGTAAAGAAACCAAATTTAAAAGATACAAACCATCACAGAGATACTGAGTGTATATTCTTACTTAAAACATAGACAAGAATTAACAGTATTAAATCCAAAGATGCTGTAAGAAAGCAACAGGTTAATATCATCCTGAACATAAACATAAAAATTATTAACTAAATTTCAGCACATCAAACAGAAATATAAAAGGACTAGAATATAGTGACCAAGTTATAGCCTGGGCAAAAGTATGACTCAACTTTTAAAACAATTCAATTCACTGTATCAACAAACTAATGAAAAATGTTAACTTGGTCATCTCAATGAATGCAGAGAAGCTACATTTTAATTGAACGCATTTTTTTTTCCTACGACCTAAAATAAGGTAAGCATGGGTTTTCACATTTACAGTGAGGATCTTGACCAACACCATCCAACACCGGGAGACAGGAATAAAAGGTGCAAAACTCAGAAAGACAAAACTGAAGAGAATAAGACAGATGAACACCAAGTAGAGTGGACAACATACTGACTACACAAAAGCAGACTTTATATGCAGAATGTGGTACCTCACCATACTTGGTTCCCTAAACAGAGGTGTGCTATGCAGACAGGGAGCTGCAAGTTTTCTCTGGGTGACCAATGACCTTTGATGAGCTTTCTGCTGGAAATGGCAAAACTAGACCAGTCCATTAAAAAGTCAAAGCTGACAAGTCCCATTAAACTGTTCTGTCTCTTAGCAACTACAAAAAAAAAAAAAATCATTGCAGTACAAAATAAAAATGGATCAGAGGTGGGCATGAAATCAGTGTCTGGTAATTCCTAATTCTTTCTCCTCAATTATTTAACTACACTGACTACTTTGGGTAAAGAAGTGATTGTGTGTGTGTGTGTGTATGTGTGTGTGTTTTTTTTTACATTATCTAATTCTAAAAAAAATAAATTCTATTCAAAACACCAATGCTGACCTCAGGTTAGAGAAAGGGCTGGTAATCTAAGATTGGATAAAAGGTCCAGAGATCCTTACATGTAATCTTTCTTTCTTGTTTAGTAACATTGTTCTGTAATTATTTTATAAACAAGAAGGGAACAGTAATTAAATTCGACTAAGTTTGCAAAAAAAAAAAACTTTAAAAGCAAGTCGAAATTATGGGTTACTTGACATAATTTAATGATTTCAATGATAGAAAATTTTACTTTATTAAAGCTTTCAAGTAAATGAGCACATTAACTTGGGAATGTGAAAAAGATGGATTTATACTTAAGATATGCACTGGAATTCAGTAATTAGAGAAAAGCACATGGAACACAACTGATGATTCCAATTACACACAGTGACCCCTCAGACCAGTCACCAGGAAGCAGAATTACGATGCACAACTTGGCCACCTAGCTTCTGTCAGATTTAACCCTGCATACTGTTGCTACCTTTCCAATGTGCTAATGATGATGGCAAGGCAGTCAGTTTTATCAAAGGCATTCTTTTAGTGAACAAAAGTGGCCACCTAAGTTGTACAAGTCGTAATTTATCCCATGGTCTTCTCCAAAGTCATTCTGATTTAAAATACACATACTCCAAAAAAAAAATCTTAAAAGACGGTAATAAATAAACACTGACCTTGAAACCAAAACTAGATGTTCATAACCGAATTGGAAAACAATAAAATGGAGAATTCATACCCCTCCATCTCTATGATCTCAATAGAACTGCTTTATGCCCACATACAATCAAACTAATTCTAGTGTTACAAATTAAAGGTACCAAAAAAGTTAGTTTTATAATAACTACTTATAATTCTTTTTTTTTTTTTTGGTTTTTACGAGACAAGGTTTCTCTGTGTTGTTTTGGAGGCTGTCGGTCCAGCCCAGCCTCGAACTCACAGAGATCCGCCTGCCTCTGCCTCCGAGTGCTGGGATTAAAGGTGTGCACCACCACCGCCCGGCAGTAATTCTTGTTTGTTTGTTTTGTTTTTCGAAACTGGGTTTCCTTGTGTAACAGCTCTGGCTGTCCTGGAACTCGATTTGTAGGCCAAGCTAGTCTAGAACTCACAGAGAACTGCCTGCCTCTGTCTCCCGAGTGCTGGGATTAAAGACGAGTGCCACCATCACCTGGCAATAATTACTTCTAACTCTTAGTGTACGCATGTGTGTATGTGTGGTAGCATGTCCCCAGGGGTGCCAAGGTCAGAACAGGAGAGAGAGGCAGCTGTGAACTGCTGGATGTCGGTGCTGAGGACCAAAACTCCAGAAGCACCGATTTCTAGAAGCAACAAGCACTAGCTGAATCATCTTTCCAGACCCTTATTTATTAATTATTATTGCACTAAATTTTGCCTTCTGTATAAGAGTCAAGAGACTCCATTAGGCTCTTAATTTCTACGGTCAAGTTTCCACAGCCAACTGCAAATAGATATACAAGAGACTAGCTTGCTGGAGCAAGACCTTCCACCTAGTACTTGATAAAAATTAAGCATTTATAATTCAAGCTTAAACCATTAAGACATGGAGCATGCAAATTAGTCAGTACACTGGCTGGTTAATGTTCATGGAATGGAATCATTAGGTTAGTCAGAAAATTTTATGGGTTAAACTTAGAAATCAAAGGTTGAAGAGTAATATTGGAATCCAAATACCTCGTCCAAAGCTATGAAGGTCTTTACTAGAAACTGCATTGTCAATGTTCTGTCTATTGGGGGATGGGGTTGTCTGTGCCACCTGGTTCACGAAATCCTGCCACTATACTAAAAGCGGTTTTACTGTCTAACGAAAACGCAACACAACCCAGACTAAAGCATCGACTTTCAGGTTGCACGCCAATGTTTTACGTCAAAAAATATATATATTTGGTACCACAGAGCCGAGCAGCTTTCCTCGAAAAGATCAATTTGGAAGTCGCAGAATTCAAGCCGCTAAAGGGGAAGAAGGAAGGCACTTAAGGAGAGTCGAGATTATTTTATTTCACAAACGAGACTGGCGACATCGCCGCGGCTGTCGAGCTGTCCCCGATACGGGCCCCATTTCCCGGAGGCTGCGCGTCAGAACAAAGAGGCCTCCGGGAACGACGGGGCCGCAGAGCGAGGTGGGCGGGCACGAAGTGACAGAAAGAGACCAGGTGCCCACCGGGGACAGAGCTGGAACAGCGACGGCCGAGGCCGACACCAGGCGGAACTCCCGAAGGGCGCCCCCTGCTCGGGCGGCTCCCCGGCCCGCCCGGCCTCGCCCTCCCGAGCCCCGAAGCCGAGCCGCACAGACCGGACGAGGGCGGAGGAGCCGGCCCGCCCCAGCCCGCGCCAGCCCCCGGCCTCCTTACCCAGCTCGCCACGGAGCACAGTCCCAGCACGCCCCCCATCGCCTCCGCGTCGCGGGCCCAGCGGCTGCCGACAAGATGGAGACAGCTTCTCAGCGGCTTTTCTGGGCTTATTTACTGTCTGGCAGCCACTTCCGGCGCAGAAGGCATCCGCCCCTCGGCCCCGCGTCACTTCCTCTCAGGCTAGGGCGGAGTGACGCGTAAATTACACTGTGCAAGGAAGACCCTTGCTTACCATCTGCTTGAATTTGGACGTTAGCAGAGCCCAGAACCGTTCTCTTTCTGCTTTTTGAGAGACTGATTCCTCTTGGGATTTAGCCATCTCATTTCCACTTAGTCCCATTTCCTCTAGCTTTGTGTTCCCCTTTTATGTTCCATCCCCATATGCATTTTATGCTTGCAGCCACTATGTGGAACAAGATTTGCTGCTAGGTAGATTTCCATATTTTAGACATCACTCCACCCCAAATATGATGCTTTCTATCAGACCTTCTATTTATTGTTGACGCACATTTTGACTTCTTTTTCTAGTAAGATTTTACGTGGTTTGTACTTGGAAAATATTTTAACTAGTTAAGCCATTTATTATAGTACAGTGGTTTTTTGACATCTGTAAGACAGACGTAAGATTAATATCCTCGTTTTGATGACCTATGCATGATTGAAATGTGTCCTAAGAGAGTGTTGCTTTTTATTTTTTGTAATTGTCTCTTGAAAATAATACTCGAAGAGTTTAACACACAGAAATAAATTCAGTTTGAAAGAGCCATTACTATAAATATTAAAAAAGAAAATGTCTCATAATATTGACAAAAAATGCATAGCTGGGGTGGAGTAACCTTTAGCAATCTGGCAGAACTGCAACTGTTAACACGGGCCCCCAAAAGGGATGGGATTGCAAACAAAAGAAAATCAGTGTGTTTTCAGCATGTCAAACTTTTAAGTCTCTGCAATGAACCTGCTAGTACTTGGAAAATCAAGTTGGAAAATTAAAAATTGTCTACAACATGTACAATGATTCCCTTTGTAATTGCAGATACATATGAAAGATGATCATCAATGGGAAGCATTGTGGTTAGTAGAGTTTTGAAGATAGAGCCCCAATTTTCAAGACAAATAGCCATCAGGTAGAAGCTATTACTTTGTACATCATCCTTTGATTGAAAATTACCCTAGCTTTAAACTCTGTTTTTAGTATAAGTTGTAAAGACACCAGTTGTTGTGAGTGACACCAGTTGTCAACCTGACAGAATCTAGAATCCTCTCTGGTCAAGCCTATGAAGTATCATTCTGATTATTCTAATTGATAAGGATCTTAATTCTGAACAGAACCATGACAGGCCATACCCTGGAGTTGTACGCTAAAAATAAGCCCTTTCTTCCTGAATATTTTAGTCAGAATATTTTATCACTGCAACAAAAACACAAGGCAAGGAGGGAGAGAGGGAGGGAACCAAGAAACTATTAGTAAGATACTTGATACCACAAAATTTTAGCATCCTCATTAGTACTACATAGCTATGAAATTAACTGTATAGAATTGTGAGGGTTAACTGATATGACACCCGTTCTTAGAAAAGCAAATGCTAGCACAACATAGAGGAGTCCATAGACAATTAATGCAGGCTATTTTCTGTACTTTCTCCCCTGACAATGATTTGTCAACATAGGGTAGATATAATCTTCACACAAAGGGTTGTGTCAGTTTCTCAAGTGATTTCTCCAGGTTCCTTTGTATTTTCTTGTCTAGCATTAACATAAATTGTTTCTTTCTGAGAGAATTCAGGAGTGATCCCAAGAAGAATGTCACAATAGAGATTGACAGAAATAGTCTGAGTCATAGGATACTACAGATAAAGCTTTCTTCCTCAGGAAATATTCTGCGGCCCTCACACTCAACCATAGACAGCCTAGCCACCAGGTGGTGTGTGGGTCTGATCATTTGAGCATGAGTACAATATAAAACAGAAGGAATCTGATTTGATCAGTACTATATGCATGCATTGGAATTTCATACTGTACAACAAAATGCATATAGTTATTAAAGTTTAATAAGATCTTGAAATATACATAATTACTGTTCTCTAATGGTTTCAATAGTATTTTCGTAAAGAACAATATTAACCACCTTTCCCAGTATTAGTGAGGTACCATATTCAATTTCTGTGGCTAATAATTTGCTCTGAAATATGAACTTCTTGTGTGTCAGTCTCTAAGTGCTGGAGGAATATTTATCCCAAATAATTCCTTGTCCATCCCCACAATAATACCTTTTCTAAATCTTAATTCATGCATTAATTCTTAATAAACTTTTAATCTTAATACAGAAGTCAATTCTTCTTAGGTCTCATAACCCACCCTGCCTTTATATAAATCCCTCATAAGCTTTAAAGGAAAGTTTTGAATGGATTGTCTTAGTCAAAATTCTATTGCTGCAAAGGGACACTATGACCTTATGAGAGACATCTTGGCTCTTATAAAAGAAAACATCTAATTGGGGCTGGCTTACAGTTCAGAAGTTTAGATGGTGGCATGCAGGCAGCCATGATGCTGGGGAGTAAGAGTTCTACATACAGATCTGCAGGCAGCAGGCAGAGACAGACACTGGGTCTGGCTTGAGCATTTGAAACCCCAACACCCACCCCCAATGGCACACATCTTCCAACAAAGCCACACGTACCCCAACAAGGGCACACCTCCAAATGACCAATCATTCAAATCTATGAGCTTCTGGAAGCCATTCCTATTCAGACCACCACACTAAGGGAAAAAAATGGAAATGAAACAGGATTTGAGAAACAAAAACCAAGTTTTATTTTATATGAAACTCATACTGCATAGTCCCACTGTTCTCAGTAAAATAAGTGTTGAAGCTAATAAAGTAAAAAAATTCTTGCCTTATAAACAATAAATCATCCATATTTGAGTAAAATATAAGGGCAGTTTCTGTTGAGATTGCTCAGTGGTTAAGAGCACTTGTTGCTCTTGCAGAGGACCCAGTTTTCAATTCCTGCACCTACATGGTGTTTTACAGTCATAAGTCCAGTTCCAGGGGACCTAATGCCCTTGTCTGACCTCCACAGGCATCGAGCATTCATGTGGTACAGGTCAAAATCTCATACACATAATAGAAAATCAACAAAATCTTTTTTGTTGTTGTTGTTTTTAATCTAAGGATGGTTTGGGGTTGTATAATAGAAGGAGAGAAAGGACATGTGAGCATTTTATGGCATTCTTTCTAAAGTGATTCAATTCCAGATTTAAGCATTTCAGTATTCAACCAAATATTCAGTTAATCAAATTTTCTGTAAGAATAATCCAGAGTTTTGAATATAACAACCCATAGGGGTCAGTATTAACTTAGAATTGAAAGACACCACATTGGGCTTAAGAATGTACCTTTTTTCAGTGAGTTTACACAATTTTAAAAAACAAACTATAATCTAGTTTCAAAGGCAAATATTCTCCTTTTTAACCTTCACTTTGTCTTAATGTTAAAATAGTAAATGGACAATATTCCTTTCACACATGTTTTCCTAAGCTGAGACTAAGCCAGTGTGTTCCATGACAGCTAGATTTTTTTTACACCAGTGAAATAACTGTTACAAGAATTTATTTATTTCAGGAAAAATATACACAAATACAGGTATAGAGTGGATATTCATAATACAAATAATGACACAGGCAGAGATACAAGCATGTTTCTCACATGGAATATGCCAATGTAGAATTTTCTAAGCATTAAGAAGAAACAAAGTGACTATTTAAACACATTTAGGAAAATCTCAAAGCAGTTTATATCTTAATGGCAGTTAGGTAATGTGTTGATGGTTTCATACCAGTAAGATGGCTCAGCAGGTTAAGGCTCTTCCCACCATGGCAACCTGAACTACAAGATGGAAAGAGAGAACCAATTACTGCAAGTTACCTTCTGAGTTCTGCATGTGTTAATGGGGCATGTACCCAGACACACGCTCAAGAAAATGAATAAATGTAATACAATTTGTAAAGGTTTTATTGGCTTTGCATAGAGTTTTGTAAAGTATAAGTGAATCATGCTGGAAAAACTTATATTGAAATAAACCATGAATTGAACAAAAACATTTTTTTTACAGGAAGGAACTAATCTTTTACTATTCTTCAAATTTCTGAATTCCTAACAAATATGGTATTAAAAGTGTCAAAGTTACCACTTTCCCATATAAATGTGAACCACTTTTGTGACTTGAAATGTCTCCTATCCATATTAAAAAGACTAAAAGGCACAGGTGAAATTATTTTTGGCAACATATTAAGTAGGCATATTTCTGATTCTCATGCCCTTCTCCATATGTCATTCTGTTGCCTGCAATTTTATCAGTTCCTGCTCTGATTGCTTTCAATGATGAGTATTGTGTAAGGGAGACAAAAGCCTTTCTTCCCCTATTTGCCTTTGGTCATGTTTCACCACAGCAATAGAAACCCTAACTAAGATACCCTGTCTAACAACACTCATCTGCTCTTTATGCATTCACTTCAGTTCCCCACAGTGATACATGGAATCTTTTTCTATTTTCTGCATCTGGTTTTTTATTTGTTCCCAAGAGAAGGAACAAATGTCCATTCACCTCCAAGAAGGTCTCAATAGACGAAGGAAAGATTTCTACCCACCTTGTGAATCAATGAGTATTAAGTGAAGTTACTTAGGGAAGTGTAGGTGACTGCATCACTAAGAAGCCCTCTTCTACAGGGGTGATGTCTTCCAAGAGCTACATCACTGGAGTCTCTGCACATCTTGCATGCTTCTATGCCAACGCCTTAACCAACAATTGTTGACTGCTCATGTAACTAACCTTGCGGAAGAGCCTATGAGCCTAGGAAGTTTTCCCAACTACCAGAAACCAATGAGCAACTCTTCTCCCTCAAGGAGGGAGTCTTTCAAATTGAACAAATTCCCACCCATTTCTGGATAAAATAATGTAATTGACTGTATCATGTAGCTCATTGACTTGCATCTCCAGTCTCCTCTCATCTCTTTGTTTTTCTATCATTCATCCCATAAATATTTTAAGTTTTTCATCTTTAAAAACATTGGTGCTGGGATTGAATGGGACACTTTGTGTATGTGTGGCAAGCATATGCCCTGAGCTACACACTCAGCCCTCAAGTTCTTAATATG